AGAAAAAGACTGGTAAGAAAGTGAGGGAATCTAGTTGATATTTGAACTGCAGGAACAGAGTACAGGAGTTACAGCTTATATACTGTTGGGGGAGCAGGAGCTTGTAAGGAGTAACTCATAATGTAGGTACGGAGTTCCATGTGGACAATTATCTAGCGAGAGGAGAACTTATGTGCAGGCAGTGTATTATAAGGTCTAGCTACAGAGTCCATGAGGAATACTAGAACGTGCGAGGAGAAATGTATGGTGGATTCAAAGTCTGGTGCAGGAGTATTGGAGTGGACAACCGGAGTACCATGTGGGAATGGGGCATAGAGTTATGCCAACCGGTATACCACAAGGAACGTAATCTATAACTTTGGTTTGGGGGTTTTGGGCTTGGAGAATAACTCTTTCAGAGATGCCGGAGTTCTGTCTTCCGGTAGGGATATGAAATTTAGTGATAAACCACTCTCTCTTTGAGCTCATATTGGCTGACGCTCTGGAGTCTACTACCCAAACAGATTTGTAGTAGTCAGAGGTTTGAGAAGTGCAGGCCATGAATAGCTGAATTGGCTCTTATTCTGCAATGTGTGCAATTTTTGCTGTAAGATCAGGCTTGGCCTTTTGTTTCTCCTTTTCTGTAGACACTTTTGCTCCTTCATCAGCTTTCTTTTTACAACAGTCTCTCCAAATGTCCTGACTTTCCACATGGTGCGTAGTTACATTTCTTCTTTGTCTTTGCATCTCTTCCTTTGGTTGACTTTCCCTTGTTATCAAAGGTCTTTGCAGCACCACTTGTGGACCAGAGTCACAATGAGAATTCTCTTCCATTAGGACTTGATTTATTACTATTTCAATTAAGAGTTTGTCATTTGTTGAGGTGAGGATTGTTCAAAGTGTAGAATATGATGGAGGTAATACTATTAATATACCTGTTGCAACAAGAGAGTCATTGAGTGCCTGCCTTAGTGAGGCAAGGACATGAGCCTTTTGTCACATGGCATTTAGCTGTGGTTCCAAAGTGTCTGAGAGGACACCTCAAAATAGTTCACCTATTAGGTGGGCTATTGTCTGTTTTCCTCTTCCTTTATATCGCTCATTTAGCTTTGTCCAGATCCCTTTTGCATTTAACCAGAACAGTACCCCATTTAGAGGTTCATATTTTAGCATAAGAGTAATTTAAGCCTTTGCTTCCTTATTTCGTTGCTTCCACTTAGCCTGTTGAACGGGCATTGTGCCTCCAGGGTTAACATCTGTTCTATCAATGACTCCTTGTAGTCCTTGGAGGTCCAGGACCATAGAGATACAATATTTCTGGGTTTGGAAGTTTGAGCCATCATTCTCAAGTGATAGAATATCATATAAGTGGCTCGAGGCTTGGGTTGTTTGAGATGAGATTGTAGGTGCTGTACTAATGGAGATAGGTGGTGCATTTGGGCCTTGTGATATTGAGGCAGTTTGTGTTGACATTTATAAGGATTGTAATGAGGAGTGAATGTTGGTGAATTGTTAAAGAGCGGCAGGGCTCATAACCTTTTGAACAAAGGTTGATAAGAAATGCTAGACAGAAAATTAAGTCTAGGAATAATCAGTAAACTATCTATAGTAGTGTGATGAATGTCTCACCTCAGTCTCTAGTTTTGAGAGCTGAGGTGCAAGCTGGCTGTTATGCTACGTATAAGTATGTGATTATGCAATCTACTCTAAAAGCAGTCACTGTCAAAGTCTAAAAACTGTTGGAGTATATATATGAGAAATCTTTCTACTTTCAACAAAAATAACTACTTGTAACAAGTTAAAATTAATAAAACTCAGTGAAACTCAGCCGCTGCCAGAGAGGCTGTAGAAACAACTGAGGTATTCCTATACTAAGCCCCCTTACTACCTAAGGTATAATGACTCCTAGCAGAACAATGGTGTTGAGTCAAGCAAACTGTAAGAGAGAATATCTCAGTCTGATTATTAGAAGACTGAGGTTGTCGAGAATAAGGAAGTCCAAGTTTTGTGTAAGTGCGGGAATATCTAATGATTATGTAATGTGTAAAAGAGCAAAAAGTGTAAATCAATGGATAGGTAAGGAATATCTCAACAAATTGGTGACTCCATGGAGTGGTGGGTATTTTCCACTGTGGAGAAGTCAATGTAAATCAGGTGAATTCGGACATAAAACAAGTGAAAATACCGTGTAGTAGTCCGAGTTGAGTTTTTATTTGATTACAACCTCGGCTAGTGGTTTGTAACTGTAAAAGCTTATGGGCCCCATTATTTTGGGTGTTTGGGAATTTATATCAACCGTATTTGGTCACCCGCTTGAAAGGTTTCAACCTGCTTCACCTGTGACTCCCACAGAAGCTATCTAATTAGAGGATGTGGGCTGGTTTTAGGCCTTTTTTATTATCTCTTCATTATCAAGAGACTTTAGAGCCACAAAACAAGACTTAGTTGAACCAGCGAGAGTACCTGGTTAGTCAGCAAAGCCACAACCTTGATTTGGAGTCCGTGTCATCCCAATTAGGCACAAACTACATAGTTCTATTGCCTCTCCCGCTTTGGCAGCTTAGGCTTTTTTTAGGAGACCGCAACACCCCAAATAAAGTAATTGCTACACAGTTCAACAGCTTCTCCCTGCACTGGCATTGGTATACTCAAATAACTATTGCGTAAGGATCAATGGACACATCATGTTGCCACTGAGAGGACACATGAGCTTGCTGTCGGACACAGCAAGCTCACATATCTCGCTTGATTCTCCATCCCTTAACACGGGTCTGGGCTCTCATGATTGCTGGTGTATCATACAGTCCAGTAGACAACCACATGTACATTCAGTACGTGTAGACTAAGGTATAGATAAATACAACATCATTCCAGGTTGAAACATACTTGGATACGCATTGAGGGGAAGCATACAAGGACATAGATATGGCATAAGTAATAGCATAAATACATGGACCCATAATGAGGCACTAATGAAGATAGCATGCACACGGCCCAAGTCAGTGATGGCAGTGTATCGTGCTAACATGATACTCACATCTGTATCCCCTACTCCTTGTCTCCCAAGTCTTCTAATGATGATTCAATCACCTCTGCACTTTCGGGCGCCCTACAACCTACTGTCTTTCTATTCAGGGTATGTTGCCCATTCTCCTTGTTATGCTGGGCAGTCTGTTGTTGCTTTCGTGGAAAACCTGCATCAGAGCGCTTTTTCCTCTTCTTACGAGTCACCTTGCCTGCTTTCTGGTGTGCCTCAAGTTCAACCTTGTAGCTTTTTAACTGCAATAGTGTCAGTTTGACCCAATGACAAGTGCCGTTTTGCCATGCATTACAAATCTTCCGGATTTCTGCCACTGTCCCAATTGTAGATGGATTGATAAAAGGAATGTTTGCAGGCCAGCTGACATTTTTGACACCATGCAAAGCAACAATTGCTGTTTCATAATTCTCATAGTCTATCTTGGCTGTTTGTCGCAGGACCTGGCCTATGATCAAGTATTCAATTAGTGTACTTCATCACTGTAAGATGGAATGTACAAAGGCCAATCTTGCAGGCTTTGGTACGTTAACAACAACAGTTTTTGAGGTTATCATGCTCTGCAGTGTCTACAGGAATGAATCAGTGAAGGGGCCCCACCGCTGAATTGAGCACTGACTTTGATTTCTAGAACATCCCCACTGCTCAAATAACTGAGCTATTTCATCTGGGTCCCTGCCAATAATGTTACAATAACACAATTTTCGGACCTTTCCTTTATTTTATTCTCTGCTTTAACCTTGTACTTTAGCCTTCACACATGGTGCCACGCGGCACTTCCCCTTTTGTCCAAACCCCTCTTTTTTGTGCTGCATTGCCTTTTTTCTTATTTTGGACACAACTCTCTCACACAGTGGAGCTGGCCATGCGGGCTTGGCCTCATGATATCATCAGCCACTGTCTCTATCAACTGTATAGTACACATGTACAAACAACTCTGTAATAGTATATATACCCCAATAGATCCAGGAGACTCCTCAGCGAGTCCTCCTGTTGTTAACCAACAAACTCTCTGCAGCCCAAGGGGTAACCACTCCCCATTCACTACCCTTATAGTGTGTTCTTGTGTGCGCCAGAGTAACTAACTCTTGGTTGTTACAAATTCACAGTTTAGTGACAACAAAGACAATGATAAAGGCAATGGCAATATTGTGAATATTGACGGTGTGCTAGATGGTTCAGAGCCTTTGGGTATCAGTCACACGGGAGGAGAATTTGAAGCTCTCACACAGGAACTCAATGGTAGTTTATGGAAAGAGTAAGTCTTCTGTTTCATAATGTATTATTTTCTATTGCGGGGTCGTCAGTCACTATTGGCAGAAACCGTGTCAACAAGATTATCAAAATTGCCGAGACCGTATTATGCGTAGAATCCATGTCTTTAATCATCAGTTAACAGCAATTACAGATGCGTACATGAAGTGAACTTACCATTGTAAGGAAGCAGGTGCTTATGGATTTCTAGGAGAGCAGAGAGCAAGTCTCAGCAACGACTTACCTCAAGGGACAGGATTTGTTAAGGTTAAGGTGGTCAACATTTATTGTAAGAGATTGAATTTGTTTCGCCGCTTTGTGTTACTATTGTACAGACACCCAAACATTTTAACTCAACATCATTCCTAGTGACACTTTTGTTGTGTCAGCTCTTGTTTGTCAAGGTATCATGCCTTGTTCACCTGTATCTCCATCTGTGGGCATTACGGCCAACACATTGGAGCTGTATTGTGTGGCACATCTGCAAAACCCCCATTTCTCGATTTAGGCCTGGGTGAAGACTCTCAGTGATTTGCAAGGAGTAGGTCTGTTCATTTTGATTGTACAGATTGCTTTGGCCATGCTTAACCATTGTTCCAGGTTCAACATCAAAGGTGTCTTGCAAGACATTTATCTATCACCTTCAACCTCTATCTTGAAGTCCGAGAGCGTGTCAATGAACTTGTATAACATTGCCTTCAATGTGATTCACCCGAGTGGAGATTGAAGCATGCCTGCCCTCTATGTACGTGTAAACTAAAGGACGAGGTACCCTTACAGTTTCAGATTATGTACACAATAGACGGCAATGACTCACTCAAGCAAATAATCAGACGGACACCCTTGTCAGATGATGAAGATGAAAAACCAGGACCTTCATCAGAACTTCCAAGTCCACAGTACATTTGCGGTGATTGCTACTCGTCAACGGAGTTGGTAGACAGATGGGCGCACGGAGCTTTGCAGAACATGTTGGGAGAGGCACTCAATGCTGTATGGACTAAAGGATCATGTTCTCATATTGATGTGAATGAATTACAGAATGATGCTGAGGACAATCTATGTGCCAGACACTGGAAAAACATGAAGGATGATATAGTGGAGAAGATGTGGGGGTGTATTTGATGAAACTGGTATATTTCTGGCTCTTTGTTACCACGGTATCTCCCTCGTTGTTGCGGATATCATGCAGAGTGGGGAACTGTAAGTTTTTTCACCCCTATCTAGATTGTTTCAACACAACACTACCACTCTATTCATGCAGAGGCAAGTATCCTCTGGCTGTTGTCGCAATACTGCCGGACGTGTTTGGTGAAGGTCTTGCAGGCAGCTTTGACATTAACTGCAAGTTCAAGACTACCCTTTGGAACAGCCCTCTTGGTCCACAAGCCTGCACACTTAACCACACATGTCTAGTAGGGACATTTCATGGACACGCTCACAGACGCCTCTGTCAGCTCAATCACCTGGCAATGTATGTTGAAGGTCTAGGCCTAGAGGACTTGGAGGGATGCAAGTGTGCATTCTCCAAGTCCAATGCCTTGGCATTGTCTGTGCAATATGCCAGCATTTTCCACCAAAAACAAGCCATCAATACTTATTTTGAGCACAATGACTTGTTTGAAGTCTATTATAATTTATGTAAGTCGAATTCCTCTCTACGGACTTCAAATGATATATCATTTTGAATGATAGCTATGTTCCTATACAACAACTACAAGCAAGCATTGGACATCCTTGCCACTGGACCGGTTAATCTTGCAAAAGCTATGCAAGAGCTTCAAATTGTTGAGAAAGGGATGTTTGAGAGCTGGCTCCAGGAGGAAGAAACTTACCTAACCAGTCTATGCAAGGAGCAGGTGGAAGAGACACATCAAATGGAGTACTGGCAGAAGCTCGCCAAACTCACAACCAGCGAGGATGAAAAGTCATTGTTTTGTAAAACTAATAACCTTATCCTTATATTTGCAGACAGGCTCTGGCGGCCGCAACTAATATATTCTCTTCACAGACTCCCACAACACTAGCTACGCCGAGGGCAAATCCAACACAAAGGACAGAAACAGCCCATTGTCATGCACAAGAAAAATACGAGAAGATCTTGGAGGCTGTACAAGCAATAGAAGTAAGGCTCTGCATTACACAACGCTGGATGCCAGATGATCTGGAATGGCAGAATGCTGGCAGGCTTGTGGCCATGCAGAAATATCAGACAGCCTTAGATCATCTGGAAGGGCTTGTTGTGGCTCATATGTTTGACTGACAAAAATAAACCAATCTCAGATGGGTAAGCAGTTTATTGAGGGGTGCATACTAAATACTAATAGGCCTCTAGGTTATGCTCTACACAAGCATATTGGCAAGGTCTTGCAAGCACAATCAGCGGCTATCTGGACAGCACTGGATCACTATAACGCCGCTGCAAAGGCCCTGCAACCACCCTGTTGTACCCTGGATTGGAAGCAGGTTGTGGAGTATGCATTTCTTGTAGACTTTGACCTCCTGCGTGATGCGCAGCAGGATATATTATCCAGGCCATGGGCAACTCTGGCCAGCCGTCTTGCAATGAATGAGTACTTTAAGATTAGCAGCACCCATGAAGAAATCAAGCATCTCAATGTTGAGATCAGGCGATTTGCGATGTACCTGCATGATGAAGACATATACTTATGTGCATGTGAAAAACAAGTACGTGAGTCCAATCCCATTCTAGCCCACCAAATCAATATACACCGGAGGGAGCAGGGGCGCTTCAATGCACACCATGTATCCCGGTTGGTGGAAATCTCATGGCTACCAGGCTTCAGCGGCACCATACATCCTGGTGAGAGCATCAACACCGGACCAGGAGAGTGCTAGCACTCCTTCGGTGCACATCCCCTCAGTGACGGCTGGTGGTGGTTCTACGGTTGGGGGGAAATGGCCCAGGCAGCTGACAGTCAAGAAGACCTTGAGGACGGAGAAGAGGTCGAGGAGGACACTATCAAAATCTCAGCGGCCTTTGAACATATCGTACACATATCTGGCAATGGCTGAACATTTTACTCTGAGGATGAGCTTTTATGGGATACATGTTGTATTGTATGTATGTACATATGGTTGTCTACTGGACTGTATGATACACCAGCAATCATGAGAGCCCAGACCCATGTGTTAAGGGATGGAGAATCAAGCGAGATATGTAAGCTTACTGTGTCTGACAGCAAGCTCGCATGTCCTCTCAGTGGCAAAACCATGTGTCTGTTGATCCTTACACAATGATTATTTGAGTATACCAATGCCAGTGCAGGGAGAAGCCATTAAACTGTGTAGCAATTACTTTATTGGGGTCTCGTGGTCTCTTAAAAAAAGCCTGAGCTGCCAAAGCGGGAGAGGCAATAGAACTGTATAGTTTGTGCCTAATCTGGATGATGCGGACTCCAAACCACTTTGCTGACTAACTGGGTACCCTTGCCAGTTTAACTGAGTCTTGTTTTGTGGCTCTGAAGTCTCTTGATAATGAAGAGACTCAGGATATTAAAAAAGGCCTAAAACCAGCCCACATCCTCTAATTAGAAGTACATCAGCTCGCCAATTGTCCCTCTAATTAGATAGCTTCTGTGGGAATCACAGGTGACTCGCTTACAATTTGCAGATGCTGCAGTAGGATGAGTCTAAGTACAGTTGATTGTCTCATAACGCATAATGTCGGGACCCCCCAAAACTACATACAATACGAGACTTATGCGCTACCAGAGGTGTTACAATGTGTGACTACATGTGACCTAGGGTGACTCCCGCGAGCAGTGTGACAATAATGCAACACCAAACACTCTGAAACACTCCTACTCTATTCTATGAACGATTTTAGCGTGGTTTGCCTAGCATTTTGGACCTCTTGGCATCGTAGAAATGCTCTATAGTGACAAAGCTGCCCCATCAAGTCCAGCAATCCCCCCCAACCTGCCTGTTGGATACAGCCTTGTTCAAGATCCTAGCACAGGCTCATGATCTCTGCGCCAGTCCATGATTGTGATGGTGTTCCGTCTTCATTGTCCGACTCCACACTAATCATGTCCTCTTCACTAGCCATTAACTCTCGGACCTCAGCAACAATCTCTTTATCATCAAGTGCAAACTCTTCATCAATCAACCTCTCTGCAGCTGGATCAACAAATTCATCGACTGTCAGAGGCTTGCCAAAGATGCAGTTTCGAGATTTGAGTTCCCCAATTGCATTTTCTAGCTGATCTTCAATATTACTGAGCTGCAGCAGCAGTTTTGGAAGTGCAGGTATTCATATCTTGAGGCCTGTTTGACTGGCAGCTGCATTTGCAAGACTTTCAACTGCGGCAATCACAGCTTCTGTGTCACCTTTAGCATCCATAACAGTGTTCAATGCTGGCCTCCGGTCTCCATCCGAATATCACCCAGACAAGGCCTGTTTGATACAAACTTCAGTAATTGGTAATATCATAGAGTCACTGACTGCAAACTCTCACATAACACCCCACCCAATAGGATTTACATGTGCTTGTACATCATTGTATGGGATAGTTGTTGGAATGGAGGGATCTCTGTGCAAAGAATAGTTAGAACTTGAAAACAAGAGCAATTAAAATCAGATCTTGACATACAGTTGAATTTGACTGTGATCCCACCAGTGATGGATAGTAGTCAATGTAACAGCTTCCCAAGCAGCCTTCGCCATCAAAATACCTTCAAGTAAATTGATTGAATAAATGTCCCTCTTGCCAGCTTCATCAAGGTCAAGTGCTTTTGCGCAGTAAATCTTCCTATATCCAGCCTCAAAGCAGTGGATGCCTGCATCACATGGCTGCACAAACAAAGTCATATTTGCTTTGAAAACCTCCATCCGAACATTAGTTGGTTGGTATGATAGCTTGTGTGCAGAGAAGCCGTCTACAAATAGGCAGACCTGACGGTTCTTGTTTTGCATCTTAAGATCAAAATGCTTCATCCATCTGTATACTGCAATTAGCACTATCATAACACTAAATGTGGGCATGCCTTACTCTTCAAACAGTGCAGTAATCATCCAGGCCTTCTTATTATTTTGGTAATAAATACCAAGCTGCTCTGGTGATTGCTTTTTAAAGCAGCATGGCCTTCTTGACTTCCCAATGTAAATGGGCTCAAACTTCTCGCTCCCATCTGCATTGCATGCAAGACCAACAGAGAACTTCTCCTTTTTCTTCCCACTCATTTGCTTTGTTGCGAGGCCTCGGTCTGGTGGAGCGCTGTGAGATAATCTTATCAGCTTGATCTGGAAACTCACAATGGAAATAAGCCTGTTTCGTCAAAATTCCACCGATCTCTCGGAGCATATTGCAAGAGAATTTTATGGCACCGCTCACGCTCAGCACTGACTGAATCAAGATCAACTGACCCTGCCTCACCATGCTGGCCATACTCTTGGATGTTGTAGGTCCTACAAAAGGATGCAACCCATCCATCACCTATCAGCTGCTCCTCAATTGGCACCTGAAAATTATCTTCAAAGTGCTTCCGCTTCTTCTTCAGCATTGGCCCAGTAAAGTGCATGCCCCTGGCTTCCATGCTCTGGATCCACAGGACTAAGGCCTTCTTGACATCAGGTCTTGTCACGATCCGTGGGTATTTTGCTGACAAAGCACTTGGATTGTCATTGATGCAAGCCTCCAATGCGATGCAATCCTTCAGTTTCCGTGATAAAGTCGACTGCGTGAAGATCAGCGCTCCTGATTTCAAGGTGCAAAAGTGTGCAACAATGTCTGCTTGTGGTGTATTGGGGTGGGTATCAATGTAGGTGAAGACAGTAAGCCAGTCTGCTAGTGTAAGGTTCTGTCTTGATCTCTGCACTGGAGGCTTTGCAGAAGTTGCAGGTGCATCTTTGTTTTTTGCTGCTCTCGGCTGGTGGTTGTATGGGCAAGGCTTGTCGCGAGGTTTTCGTTTCTCGGCAATAGGCATAGGTGCAAATTTGGTTTTTTGTACAGAAGCCCAATTTCAAGCAGTATACATATGCATTGAGGACAATGGTTGGTAGTGAACCGAACATTGCACCAAGTCCATTCACCCAAATTACCATCTAATACTGCATAACAAGGCCTACAGTACATTCTGTTATGTATCATGCATATTTTTTTTCATTTTCCTCGCGCCCCATTGTGGGCTCCACAAAAAGTTGATGCATTACCAGAATTATGCACTACGAGGCAATGCATTATGATACAATCAACTGTATTAACATGGAAGATTTTGCCCCAACACATGGTACCCTGAAGTGATCATGATTTTTGTCATCATTTGATTTATTTAATAGGTTTCTACACAGCTTTCAGTGGATAAGATGCTTTGTGTATTCTCTGATTGCAAATTCACACATAAATTGATGTATTCTTTCAAACTATGGATGATACTATTTGGCATTTTGTCAATACTTTGATTGAAAAAACCATAGCAACACATAAGTTACTTACGTCTGCATGCTTAGCCTAAGTGGGCTCTGATATATTCAGCGCGGAGTATGCTGGGGGATTACCACTTGTAGATCTCCCAAAAAGATTCACTTCGCCGCTTTGCCTATCCGTTTCTTGTGGAGATACCGTAGACAAATACGTCAATTGAATGTCCCGATTCGACGCAGGGTTGATGGGGTGTAGCATGTTACATGCTTGATTTGCTTCATCCGTACCTGGATATATGATATAAATGTTGGTGAATGTACACAGCAGGATTAAGTGACACAACCTGATAATAATATCCGTCGCGACAACTCGGTCTCAGAATAGACAAAGTCACCTTCTGGAATAATGGGTCTAGTGTCTGCTGGGGAAACGGAAATAACTCTGTTTGGAGTACTAACAACCTGACCAACTCCATCTTCGATAGCGGTTGTCGTTGATGCAGTTGATGTAGATGTGAGATCCATGTGATTTCTGATATGCCAAGCTGGTGCAATGCGTGTTCCTCTCTTGGGTCGTCGCACTTGCTGCAAGAATCTGGTTGTGGTGGATAGTTCACTCGGAGTGTTTGATACAGATGCATGCAGCTCTCTTCCAACATCCAATAGGATACTACCTCGTTCGCTGCCATAGGCAGGGGGGGGTGCAAGGGTTCCCGCGCAAGGGGCCAAGCCCCATTTTTTGACGTTGGCTTCGATGAATACGAATCCGGCTTGTCCAAAATTAACATGTACGCTGCAGGGACCATCAGCGCCTATCGTAGGAAATAAATTCCATTTACTGAAGCCGACGAAGGCATCCTCCAACTTTCTTCCGTTGCGAGTGAAGAAAATGATACCAGTGCGAGGACGATATCCAACACCAAGTACATCTCCTTCTCTCAATATTGGTCCAAATGATGACGTAGTGAAGGGATAGTTATAAGATTTATTCCCATTCGAATGATATGCAATTGAGTAGCGATTGACTCCCGGTAAACGAAAGGTAGGGTAAGGTTTTGTTGCCAGGCCTATGGCTACAGCTGTGGAGTCGGGGAGATCAAACATCTTGACTTCCCAATAATAGACTTCGTTTAACTTGGGCAGAGGGAGATTGGATTGCACGCAAGAAGACGAGGCAGGGTCGGGAAGGAAAGTAATCTCGGTCCGCGCGTGAACCAGCAAATAATTGATGGTGTCACAATCAGGCTCGAAACACCACGCTGAGACGCCCTTTTCCTGAATATACAGGAATTGGGATAAGGTTATATCGGTTGGATGAGAGTTGGGTGGATGCTGGAGTTGGTAAACTGAAATGTTTTGCCCGATCAGCCCATACAAAGGCGCCAGTTCAGAGTGGGGGTGAAAACACACCTTTAGCTTTAAGATATGACCTACGCACTGATTCGATGGCACTCTCTAGCCAACGAAATTCAAGACCTTCGAAACCGCCCTCTCCGTTTACAAATTCCTCTCTACCCAAATCAATGGGGCCACTGGAGTGATTGAGCATGCCACCTCGGCGATGGCGAGAAAGCGCGACACATGCAATCACCAGTAACAAGACGAATAAACACATAGAAAGAAATACAAGGAGAGGTAAAATCAACAGGCGAACGTCGTGCCTTGGTGAGTTCGGTGGATTAGGGGTGTCGGCCACCTGCATATGAGATATTTGACTCGATATATCTGGCCAACCAAGCCCGAGGACGGCAGAACTAGTCTGATAAGGGTTGGAAATTGGACCAACATAAGTCTGGAGAGAACTTCCTTGCATCTCAAAAACTTGCCACAGAATTGAAAGCACAACTTCGAATATTTGAACTTGAGGAATATCCCTCGTCGTCACGCAGGTGTCACTAGTAACGGACTGACGAAGATGGAACAAGGCGGAGTGCCAATGCGCTTCAGCATACACACTTACACACTGTAACGGTCACGGGAACGTCACACGAGTAGTAGGGGGAAAATGAGAGAGCTCTCGAGCGATCCGAATTCACAGTATTAAGTCTACTATTGATTCTGAAAATGCTGCTCTCCTACTACGAGTACGAGGTCCTTATATACTGTAGGTAGGTTAGCTAAGAGGTCCATAATTCGATAATTAAATAACTAAAGAAACTAAATGAATGACTTATTACTAGGGATAGCTGAGTTGACCGTAAAGGATAGTGGATCTAGCTATGTACGCGAAGGGGAAATTGGCGAAGACTAGGTTCTGAGACAAGCGAGGCTATGTGACCAGCGTCACATCCGTTACAAACACCAAGCATAACCGATTTTTGTCACACCCAAAATTGATGAAGAAGCCTGAAAGTAGTTAGAATATGTGATTGTATTTAGCTCTCATACCTGACAATGACATCTTCCAGGTTGGAAGGATAATCATGAAACCACGCTGGATGCGCAACAACAACGGGTATGCGGTGAGAAATTCATAGCTACAGATATAGTTGACGGTGACAGTGACTGCAGCTCCAAATATTGGCCCACTTGCAATGGCAGTACTGGCAGCCATAACAGAAATCATATGTGCATCGTTGCAGATTGCAACAATCAGGGAGACACTACTCACCCAGATTTCCTTGAGCCTCTGTTTGCAGGTGTCTACAGTGTCCTATCCCCCTTCTATCAATGACCAATGTAAAAACCTACCAAACATCACCATTGCCACAAACATACCCCATGAGTCTTACTACCGCATTCTCCTTGACAAAACCGGATAAACCCGGTCTCTGCCAAAGCAGCCATTATTCTCCATGGAGCATAGCCACCACTCCATGGAGTCACCATTGTTCTCCTGGGAGCACAATTGTACTCCTAGGAGTCATTATACTATAGCGAGTAGCACCTCCAACTATAAGTAGTAGGGGGTTTAGTATAGAAATACCTCAGTTGTTTCTATAGCCTCTCAGGCAGCGGCTGAGGTATGTTACATTACATTTATTAGAGATCACCTTAAACTAACATCCATTGTAGTTTCACTTAGGTAAATAATAAAGTTGTTTCTATAGCCTCTTGGGCAGTGGCTGAGTTTCACTTAGTTTTATTAGGTTATGAGCCCCCCTGGTGCGCAAAAGCTACGCAGGAAATAATTCTTATTTGAAATGGCAACCTCGGAACCATGACCACAGCACACGATACATCCGCATGTCCAGTTCTCACTGGACCCAACAATTTTCAGATATGAAAACTCCAGATCATCTCAAAGCTACGTCGGGAAAAAGTTCTCTGGGATGTTACTGGAGAGGAGCTTAAGCCCTCACCAGGAAAACCTACCTCCTCGGAGGATCCTGAAATCACCTGGATACTTAAGGATAAGAAGGCACATGGAATCATTCAGGACCACATCTCTGATGCCCTCCTAATGAGGACTGGAGACCTCACCAGCTCCAAGGAGTTATTTGATAAACTTGTCTCACTCCATCAGACGTCAAACATTGCCCCGGCCTTCTATTCATTCCAGCAACTCACCAAATTATCCTGGGATGGGACATCACCTATCCAGGACCACATTGCGAAACGGACAATTGATTCACACCTCTCCAGAATGAAACTAGGAGTTGATACCAAACTCATGGCTTTTGCTCTTCTCCAATCTCTCCCATGCACTCCTGAATGGCAAATATTTCAGTCATCGGTAATCAACACGATTGAAGAAAATAAACTTATCTTTGATGCAGTTGAGATCTGGATCACTGCAGAAGTTGCACGACAGTCAGGGAAGGCCCCTGGAGGTTCTGAATCAGCACTCAAATCTGAGGAGAAATGGTGTAACTTCCACAAAGCCAAATCACACAACACCTCGGAGTGTAGAACACTTCAGTCAGCTGAAAAAGGTCAAAGGAAGAAGGGAAAGGAAAGACACAAGGATAAAGGAAAAGAGAAGGAAAAGGCAAATACAGCGGAGCAATCATCTGGATCTGACTCCGAGGAGGAACAGAGTCATATTGCATTGGAACATGTACATATTTCCAAGCCCCTTGCTAAACACATTCAAGCTTACCTTGTGTCGGAACCCGATAAGACCAAAACAACAATTATTATTGACTCCGGAGCAACATCCCACATGGTCCCTCACCGCTCCTGGTTTGAGCCAGGAACATACCATGTTCTGCATCCTCCGAGGACAATCAGTTTTGGGGATAAATCCTCTGTAAATGCCATTGGCATTGGAACAGTAATCCTACAAGCAACTGTTGGCAAAAAGGACTACAATATTGCACTGTCAAATGTCTTACTTGTGCCAAACTTCACGTTAGCACTTGTCTCTGTCCACAAATTGTCCAAAACGGGGTTATCAACACTTTTTCCAGCAGGGTCAAATGCTTGTGAAGTTCGGAAAAAGGAGGAACTTATCCTCACTGCCTTACACAAGCAAGAACTTTATCACATCCAAGCAAAACCCGAAATCAACCTGGAGTCAGCTTTTGCAGCAGTAGATGTAAATTTATTGCACAGGAGAATGGGACACATTGGAATGGACCGCTTGCAACAAATGGTTACAAAAGGACAGCTCCAGGATATAGACACCCTTACCGGAACCCTGGAGTTTTGTGAACCTTGCACTTTAGGAAAGATGAAGAAATTACCTTTCAAGTCCACTGGAGGAAACCGAGCCAAGCGCCCCATACAAATTGTGCACACAGATGTTGGAGGACCAATCAAACCAACTTCCAGGGAGGGTTTTTGGTACTGGATTATCATTGTAGATGATTTCTCCAAATTTCCATGGATATATTTCCTAAAGCATAAAAGTGAAGCACTGGAACGATACAAGCAATGGAAAGAAGATGTCCAAACATTCTTCCGCACTCATTTGGGAGAAGAAAACTTCACTCCACTATACACAGAATTCCTCCGGAGTGATGGGGGAGGAGAATATACTGACAATGCATTCAAAAATCAACTCCGAGGAGATGGTGTCATCCAAGAAACTACAGCTGCAGATACTCCAGAACAAAATGGCATTGCAGAACGCATAAATCAGACATTGACTACATTAGCAACCACTATGCTCCTTGATTCCAAGCTCCCAAAGTCATTTTGGGTAGATACCATACAAACAGCTACATATATTACAGCACACAGCCCAGCATCAGGACTCCATGGAAAAACCCCATATGAAATACTGTTTAAAAGGAGAGTCAATCCAACTTTATTTTGCCCTATCGGATGCCAAGCATTTGCCTTGATTCCGAAAGACAAAAGGCAAGGGAAGTTTTACTCCAAGGGGCGCAAAGCCATAATGATTGGCTACATACATGGAAAGCAAGCCTACAAACTCCTAGACATTGAAAAATGAACTGTGTTTTCCTGTCGGCATGTTATATTCAATGAATCCGGAAAGGTACAAAAGGACGACACTGCTCCCTGGAACACAGACACTAGCACAGATCAGTGGGAGGGACTCATTCCAGAAAATGCTCACCATCCAGACCAAAATACATTGGAGGAGGATGATCCTGACCCTCAGATCCGAGATCCAAATGAATTTCAAATGGAACCACATCTCCAAGGAGATGTTCCACAAGCAATGGAACCATATCAGCATGAAGATGTTCCGAGAGCAGTGGGAGCACCTGATCAGCTAAGACACCCTCCACAACAGTTTCTACAACCAAAACCTGAACACTGGCCATCTTCAGAACGGAAACCCAAAGTAGAGTCACAGTCAGTGGGAGGACAGCCCCTCAACATATAGCCAGCTGATGTGGAAAAAGTCCGAATACAGCTAGACAGCCTGTCCATTGGATCAGCTTCTGGAAGGCATACAACACCTCCGAGGAGTGATTCAACACCTTCAGGAGTGAATGGGGCAACACACACACAAATGCATCTACTCCCTGGAGTACCTGCACAAGTTCCTAAAAGAGCACTCATGCCTGCTGAAGTCCTATGAGTACGCAAAAGCAGACTCCAGACCCATCCTGCAGACAAAAACCAAGATTATCAAGGGACTCTAGATGAGGAACAGTCTCAAAAAGAGCAGCATGACAACTCCATGGAGAAACCTAACACTCCTGAGGTTCATGAAGAAACATCTGATACAGAGGAGACATTCTTTACTGGAATAGCAAGTACTGGTCCATCTAACACAGACCTTCCAAGGACACTAAAGGAAGCCTTATCACGTCCAGATGGAGAATTATGGAAGTCTGCCTTGGAGGAGGAACTCCTAAGTCTCAATACTAATGCAGTATATGACACTGTTCCACTTCCGAAGGGAGTGAAACCCATCACATCAAAACCTGTGTTCTGGATCAAGTTTGATCAAAACGGAAACATTGAGAGATACAAACTCCGGATTGTTGCACGAGGTTTTACTCAAAGGGAGGGGATTGATTACCAGGAAGTTTTTGCTCTGGTTGCAAACTTAGAGTCAATCCGAATTATTCTAGCCCTGGCAGCAAAGTACGACCTAGAACTTGATCAAATGGACGTATCCACAGCTTATCTCAATGGAGAACTTGAAGAAGAACTTTACATGCTTCCTCCAGGGGGTGTTCCTATCCAACCTGGATACTGCTGGAGGTTGAAGAAATCCATCTACGGATTAAAACAAGCTGGTTGTACATGGAACAAAACCTTTAATCACAAGCTCCAGTAGCTTAGTTTCACAAGACTAAATGCAGAAATATGTCTCTATGTATTCCGGGACAACAAACAAAGCTTTGTTGTTGTCTATGTAGATAACCTCCTCTTAGGAGCTTCATCCCGGAAATTCATGGATATCACAAAAGCCAAACTCGAATCCATATTCGGGACCTTGAAAAAGCAAAATACATCCTCAGAATAGAAATCCAACGTGATCGTTCAAGCAAAACAATATCCCTATTGCAACACCAATACATTGACACAGTCCTGGAGCCTACTGGAATGAAGAACCGCAAACCAGTATGGACACCAATGGCCCATAGATCAAAACTCCTCGCAAACACTCCAGGGGAAGATATTGTGCAACATGAGATGCATATTGAAGGGCGTCAAGTGTCATACCTCTCAATTGTAGGCTCCCTCATGTATGCCATGCTCGGAACCCGCTCAGACGTTGCCTACGTTGTTGGAATACTAAGCAGACATAGCTCAGCTCCAAGGATCCATTACTGAGAAGTTGCAAAATGTGTCCTCCGATATCTGAAAGCAACCAGGGACATGGAACTACAATATGATGGCACAGATGTCTCCATGGACATGGATTTCTATGGATATTCAGATGCAGATTGGTCTGGAGACCCAGACACGTCTCGATCAACATCAGGCTTTGTTTTTATCACCATCCGAGGAGCAATCTCCTAGACAAGCAAAATACAAAGCATGGTAGCTTTATCCTCCACGGAGTCAGAGTACATTGGATTGAGCAATGCTGGACAACACCTTGCATGGCTTTGGACATTTTTTGAAGAAATTGGACATGCTCAAAATGGACCTACAACATTGCACTGTGACAATCAAGCAGCTATTATTCTTACACAAGATCCACAGTTCCGTGCTCGCACAAAACACATTCAACGGAAATATCATTTTATCCGAGATGACTTAGTATTAAAGGGAGAGGAAAACACTGGAAATTCTCTAAAGCTATGGGACTATGGTTGCACTTGAGTGGGAGTGACAAAACTGGATAAACCCGGTCTCTGCCAAAGCAGCCATTGTTCTCCATGGAGCATAGCCACCACTCCATGGAGTCACCATTGTTCTCCTAGGAGTCATTATACTATAGCGAGTAGCACCTCTGACTATAAATAGCAGGGGGTTTAGTATAGAAATACCTCAATCATTTCTATAGCCTCTCGGGCAGCGGCTGAGGTATGTTACATTACATTTATGAGAGATCATCTTAAACTAACATCCATTGTAGTTTCACTTAGTTTTATTACTCCTTTGCATGAAACTCTGTCTCAACATGTCACATGCTTGCCGGGTCGCAGATGTGATCTTCTACTCTTCTGGTACAGCACTGCAGCACAGGTTCTGCAGAACTGTCATTGCCAATAATTGGTCAGCAATAAATACAGTCAAAAGATGATGATATGGCAGGGCAACAACCAATGTAGCGCAATTCTGGCCAAGACCGGCTGAAATTATTTGGGCTCATTTCAGACTCAATTGCACTTTGTAGGAAGATTCAATCTCTCCCACCTCGGCAACTGGAACAGGTACAACACCAACTATCACACTTTTTAGTGCTAACACTGTATGCAGTGATCCGGATTATGTCACAAATGTGGTTCATCACCTTGCTTTGACATCAAAGGGCAATGAAAAACTGTGGGCTGCTACCCATGCAGCGATCAATAATATTTGGCGCCTCATTCATGTGTCCTTATCATCTGAAAAGAGCAGCGTTGATCACAACTTCATCAAGCAGAACAACTTGTATCTTTTGCATTGTGTGTTCACAAGAGTGAGTGATCTGTAACCCTCTTACTCTAAGTTGTGGGGACTTTGTTGACGTCAGCATTACATTTCAAATTGCTTATCACTGGGTTAACAACAGTTACAAGCACATTTCAAATCCTAGGTAATCCTCAATCATGTCCTGGTACAAGAAAACAACACTGACAGCTTGCTAGCGTCCACCTCTTGACCAAAGCTCCTACAATGTTTCAGCCCCACAAAAGCAGTGCCCCAAATTGTGTCATTGACACTTACTTTCATCTCAGCTGAAGATCAGATGAAGAAAGTGGAAAGATCAGAATAATGTATTGATGGAGACTGGATCTCTCAACAACATCAATCAAGCAATGATGGACTGACAAATGATTTTTCATTTTCAAATAATATATTTCAAATGAAGGAACTGTACAAATCTGTAGCTTGCCTGTAAATCTTTTGTGCTTTGCCATAAATAACTAATTCTGCCTGAATTGCATCACCTCCAGACCCCACTCCCACTCTGTGTTACAGGTCCTGGACACCACACTGGGGTACTTTTCATTTCAACTGTACCATATAGCGGGAACATCCGAAGCGGCATTTAAAATTAAGCATTCAAGATCGAAGTCAGAATAAATTTTTCTTTTGCCTTAACCATATCTCTCCAATGTTTCTTCGCCGTTTGTGCAACATTGCGAATGGCACGCGACGTCCTTCAAGCGTTCCACATCGTTTACCTCATATAAGGTTTTCAGCAGCTGCAAGCTTGACTAGGGACAATGTACAAGCTAGAGTTTTAAACGTCGTTAGAGGCTTTGAGAAAGTCGATTCCGTCAAGGTTGATTTTACTACAGTCACCTTTAGATCTACCCTTATCATCTCCACAGCTCTCCGTTGATTCTTCTTTCGCGGAAAACCTTGGTCTTGACAGTTTAGACACTGTTGAATTGGTCATGGCTATGGAAGAGGTAGGATGTTTGCGTACTTGTTTAATGAACTAAGTGAAATGCCTCTGACCAACAGGAGTTTGCCATTGAAATTCCGGATGCTGAAGCAGATGGTATCAAAACTGTACAACAAGGTTAGTCTTGGTCACAATCTATCGGGAAGCTCGTATTCTCATGAAGTACATCTACTTAGCCATTGAATACATCGCGAAAACACCAGAAGGTCAGTACAATTGAATCGTTGAGAGCGTTTCCCATTCAGCCGTCTATCACAGCTCATTAGTGGCCTGCATTGGGAAAATCGATGTTTGATGATCGAGCCTAGGCTTCATCTATTGGCAGCCTGTCAACAGCTGTTGAGGGTTTCGGCGATTATATCCAACGCACGTGACAATACGCGACACGTCCAACAGCGATCAACGTAGCGTACTTGTCGTATGTTTTTAGAAATACCGAATCAAATAATATTCCGAAGTCTCCTCTCCTCTGTCGCTCGCAAGTGATTGAAAATGGCGCCAAACGAAACCTACCATGCTCCAAGCAAGCACCTACAAATTCAGCTTGGATGAGGGAAAACTCCTGGCTTGACGTATATTATAAAGGCATTTACCTTTTGATCTGCATGACTATGTTTAGATGGTGTCTGCAAGTCCTTGGATGATTGACCTAATGGCTATTGTGCCAACTGGAGGAGGGAAAACTGGCTATTCTTTCATGTATATGCTAATAGTTTTAGCTACATCCACAGAACATCCACTGTGCAGTCCATTCAAATATGTTCCCAACGATCCAGCTATGGCTGTAGTGTTTCCAACACATAGACTCAAAGAAGAAATGGTGAGTATCAATGTTTCTACCCAATTCATGCCAACATACCTGTAAATTTTGGGAGTGCCCTTCACTTATGTGTATAGTTCACTCTAGTCCTTACTCACTCACTTACTCACACGGTACTGAATTTAACCAGAGTTATATTCAATGATATGTAAGAGTTTGTGATAAGACAAACTCAGACTAGATACTATCAGGTGGCTTAAAACTATATAGGTTTAGTTACCATAAAAGGTAAGGCATGATCTACATGATTGATACCTTACACCCTCCCCCCAGAAGAGGAAGGTTTGTTGTTGTTTATATGTACAAAAAAAGTAGGTACATTGTAGATACATGTATAGTAATTAGGAGAAAGTAATGTATGAGAATTTACTAGCCCAATTATTAAGTAAAAATTATCCACAAACATTCCAGTACATTATCTGTCCTCCAAGTAGACAGCCAAACAACCCCAGGTCCAGTAAAAGGAACCAAATATCAACTTTTATGTGTGGTCCCCAGTAGAATAATAGCACCAGGTACAACACCATTTTCCTGAGGGACTGGCTTGGTAACGACGTACATATTATAAAATTGCCCAGGATTTCTAGATATTTTGTATACCACTCTGCATAAGCCAAAGGGCCTTTGGGCTATGAATGAGGTACTATGTAAGAATATTTGGGAGTGAGAATATGACTCTAAATCACCCATCCTTCATCCCTATAGTGTTATAATAAGCAAAGAAACAGTGGAGGGATAATACAGTTGGATGTACTTTGTAGGCCTGTTGCCTTAGCTTTATCAGTATGTGCAGCAATGACAGCATCAAATTTGCCCTCTCCTCTTTTTCCAGGATTGGCTTTTATACTGTCCATATTTTGGATGCTATTTATATTATTCCTAGATTATCCACCACAAATTTGAATGAGTTATGCCAAATATTTGATTTGTAGGGATTGTATTCCCTCTGTCTATGAATTTGTTAAGGAAAGTATATAGGTGATATAAGAAAGTTGGACATTGATAATTTGTTTGAATGCTTTTCAGTGTCTGGCCAGGGGAATGTGGATGTTTAGCCAGGAAATTGGATAGGGGTTTGGATGAAGGCAACAAACTAATCTCTATACCTCCTTCCAGCTCTGCCTACTTCTCTTCTTCTCTCTTGATGGTATACAACAGGAGGACTCACTGAGGAGTCTCCATCTATTATAAGGGTATATATACCTAAATACATGTGGTACTATACAGTTAATTTAAATATAGGTAAATATTTTGCAGTGTTCTATTGTATTCTATATGATATCATATCACGTGACCAGTAACATTTTGGGTCTAGACACCAGTTAGGTGATGTGTCAGGTGATCAGTCACGTGACTTTCAAAAGTAAAAGCCTAAAAATAAAAGAAAGAAAAAGTGAAAATAAATGTTGTAACACTACCCCCCGCCCCCCCTATGGTTCAACTTCTAGGGGAGACCAAATACCAGAGGTTGTGGTAAGGTTGTTGGGCATTTTTTGACATAAAGAAGAAAAAAGATTGAATTTATAAAAATCTCTAATAGTATCTCGAGAATTTTCCAGATAGACTTCTGGTTGCCAAGTTTTGTCCTCATCTTCAAAATCCTTCCAGTGAATCAGGAATTCTAATTTTCCATGCTTCAAGTGTGCATCCACCACCTTCTCAACTTCAAACTCTTCATAACCTTCCTGTGTTACTTCTACAGGTCCTGGCCTGTTTACTTGTTGACCTGGCAATTTTCCTTTGTAAGGTTTTACGTGGCTGATGTTAACAGTGGGAACCACTTTCATACATTTTGGGAGTTCCAGCTCTACCATGTTTGGCTTGACTTCCTCAATCTGGTAAGGACCAATCCATTTTTCAGTCAATTTCCTGAATTGCTGATTTGTTATGACAGCATTTTTGGCACCTATTTTACTTTTATTTTACTTTTATTTTTTGGACTTTTACTTTTGGAAGTTACGTGACTGATCACTTGACACATCACCTGACTAGTGTCTAGACCCATCATGTGACCAGTCACATAATATGACATTGTACCTTTACTTACTCAGCAATGACATCATATGAAATACAATAAAACACTACAGAATATTTACCTATATTTATATTAACTGTACAGTACCACATGTATTTAGGTATATATACCCTTGCAATAGATGAAGACTACTCCTCAGTGAGTCCTCCTGTTGTATACCATCAACAAACTCCCTCTTTTCTTTGAGTCTACTATCACAACACAATGGGATCTGCACCCGTGTATAGTGATTCTGGACCTTCTGGGCATGCAACCAATCAGTATGCTTTCCAAGTACGCCTTGGTAGCTTAGTTGGTAAAACACCAGACCATAAAAGCTGGAGTCCCAGGTTCAAGCCTTGGCCAATGCATGTTTTCTTATACTATAAACAAATGTCATAATTTGACATCTACCAGCTCACTCCCTTACTCTCACATTTTCTTGAGAATCTAGCTGTGTGCACCAGAGTCTACAAAACTTTGGGTATTGTTACAGATCTGTTAACTTAAGATGGTTTGGTGTCTAACCAACTAAGTCCCTGACTTTGTATTCAGGAGCTTTAGAGTATCTACACTCTGCCTGTTCAACCATCTGCTTAGCATATTTAAATAGTTGCGTGATTCACATAAAATAGACTTCATGACCTTGGCCGATGTTCCAGCAGCCTCATTTTTGCTCTTTCCAGGTTCTACACCCATTCGGGGTACATATGACCTTGTTATTTCAAATGGTGCCTTGCTTGTAGCTGACAACTGTTTAATATTATATGAGAACTGGGCTATCTTTAGCCACTTGGCCCAATCTGACTGTCTAATACTTATAAATATCTGGAGATATTACTTCATCTCCTGGTTGAGTCTCTCCACCTGTCCGTCTGGTCCTCTATCAGAGATTACTGTTTCAGGAAGTCTGTGAATTTATCATACAAAATCTTTAAATAGATTTGTCATGCACGTGACTGTAATAGTGTTTGTTGTTGGTACAAACACTACTTCCTTTGAGAAGCGGTGTACTACTAGCATAACTGAATTATACCCATTTGACTCATGTAGATCTGTAGTAAAGTCCACTGATATGTCCTGCCATGGTTCCACAAAGCAAAGACAACTTTTGCCATATTCCTGTATGCCCTTCACCTTGCCAGATCATATTTAATATTTGGAGATCAACTCCATAGTCCTTTGCCACCCAGGGTGCCCTGCCACTAATGTGTTATGGTGTCTATCAATAGCCTTTATCCTTGCGGATTCAGGCACACATACTTTATCTTTATAATGGAAGAGCAAATCCTCCCACAAATATGCATCAATGCCCTCAAGGCACTTTTTCTCTTCTGTTGATAGGTTTTTCCTGAAGACTTCTAGAAGACCTGAATCTTGGTTGATTTGAACGTTGGCAACACCCATTGGATCTATGAGGACTACTCCTTTATTGTCCAATTCAATGCTTTCAGCATGATCTCCCCTTCTAGATAGAGCATTAGCTTTTCCCATCAAAGAGCCAGGTTTGTGAATTAATATATAGTTGAATCTAGACAGATACAGTGTATAGCATGCTTGTTGTTGATTCAGATCTTTGGCTGTCATGAAGAACTCTAGTTCTTATGATCAATCCCAGTTTTAAATTGGTGTCTAGCATGTTCTAGGTAATGCTACCAGTGTTACAATAACACATTTTTGGACCTTTAATTTTCATTCTCCTCTTTAACCTTTTACTGTAGTTTTCACACTGTGTGCGATGCGGCACTTTCCCTTTTGTTCAAACTCCACTTTCTTGCGCTGCACTGCCTTTCTTTCTATTTTAGATACAAGTCTCTCATGCAGTGGAGCTGGTCACACAGGCTGCGCCCTCTGACATCATCAGCCACTGCCTTCATAAACTGTATAGTACATATGTACAAACCTGTAGTAGTATATATACCCCAATAGATCAAGGAGACTCTTCAGTGAGTCCTTCTGTTGTATCCTCACAACTAACTTGTTGAAGTCTAAAAGGTAACTACTCCCTCATCATCATCTCTATAGTTGGTTTTAGTTGTGCGCCAGAGTAACAAACTCTTGGTTGTTACATTAGGACTCGCTCTTCATACTCTCTTGCACATTGTGCAAACCCGGACCCCAGGGTTAAGGGGATATTATTGTTTGGGAATATCCCGCATAGCAGATAGGTCCGCTCCTAGCGACGGCCTTGTAGTGCTTTGGGAGAAGGAACAATAATTTTGATATGCGGCCCCCAGCGTGAAGGGGAGTACTTTAGCTCAGCAATAGTGTGGAACTATTGTTGATTAGAATTTAGATACAAAAACTTCACTTTCTCTTTCCTCTGACCAGGCCGGGCACTTGCCTCCGCCAGTCTGGAGAAGGGTTGACAGCTTAACAAGCGGACCACCCCCTGACAACCATTCGGACCAGGGTTTACTACGAATACCTTTTATATACTTTTGCAAATACTATAGTGTGGGTAGTCGGAGATTGAGATCCGATACTCAGCTGGGAAGAGGTAGATCTGCAGATAGCAAGCGGGGACCCCCAGTTACATTTTTTTACTTTACTTTACAAGAGAACAAGTCAACATGTCATCGCAAAGCCAACCTGACGTCAACACTCTGTTGCACAACATGCGTGCACAGATTTTGGCACTGACCATGCAACTCGCTGAGATGCAGGCACACACCCCTGCAGCAACCCCCTCGGTTGAGAAGACGTTTAACAAGAAAGTTGAAGTCGTTACTGACTCCGGCGCCTTCAAAGGAGACAGAGTGCGATTCGCCGAATGGTGGATCAAGCTCTATATTTGGGTCAAGGCAAACTGGGATGTGTTTGCCGGTGACTTTGAGGTAGCCACTGCAGTGCTATCTTGACTAAAAGGACCTGTAGTGGGTCAATACGCCCAAGTAAGGCTCCAAAAATGCTACACTGTGGGTGTGTGGCCTACCTGGGATGATCTCAAAGTAGAGATCGAAAAATACTTCAAACTGCAAGCTGAGTGTAACTGGGCGCGTCAGCAGATCCGTACCATCAAGCAAGGAAACATGAGGACAGATGATTTCATAACCCGGTTCCTGGCTCTCTCCATCCAAGGGGGCTTAGGAAATGAACACACAGGAGAGCTATTGAAATGCAATGTGAACCCTCATATTGCAGAATCACTCTCACGGGTTCCAACCATACGGGTTGCAACCAGGGCGGGGTGCTCCAATGGATATTGGCGCGGTCCAGGGCGGACAGAAGCACAGATTCACCTGCTTTAGCTGTGGGCAGGAGGGCACATGGCCTGAGATTGTACAAACGGAGTGCGGGCCGCTCAACAAAAAAATAATAACCAAGGGCACCAGGTGCGCCAATTAGAAGTGGAAAAACCGGATGATTGGCTCAATTCTTTGGCAGGTCGTTCTTACGATGAAATCCGGGCTTTCTTCTATGACCAACAGGTCAATGAAATGAAGGCCCAGGGAAAAGAATTCGGAGCATAGGTCACTTGAGTGCCTTTGCTCCCCGAAACAATGAAGTAAACCACGACAAAGTGGCCCCTGCTCTGGGGTGTTGCATGAGCAATAATGGAAAGAAGGGGATGGCTCCCCAATTTGTAAATAGATTCTTGAATTTGTTATCTGAAGTATGTACTTGTATGAGAAGTTGTGACTGTGGATTTGTCTTGGACCCTCCTGACGATATAGCTGCTTTGAGCGCTGACTCAGTGGGTCAAGATGATGAAGGAGTTGATACTAAAAATACTTACAATACCACCGCTGCACCAGTGTCTCCTTTGGAGCGCAGCCCTGGCAAGACAAACAATAGGGTGCTTAATTCTGGTAAAAATAAAATAGAAAAATATGTAGCTTTTGATACTTTTTCTTCTTCCTTGGAGCCACCCTTTCCTGAAATCCCAAGGCGTGTGTTGATGCGCACATATTTATTCCAAAAGGAGATCCGTTTAGACATTGGCATGGAAAACCTTGCCCAAGGCATAGCACACCCAACTAGTGCACTGCTTGATTCAGGCGCTAACGGCATCTTCATAGATCAGGTCTGGGCGGAGCAAGTTGGACTCCCCCTTGTAAAATTAGATGTATCTATTCCTGTCTATAACATTGACGGTACACTTAACGCAGGTGGCTGTATCACACACAAATGTTCTTTTGTCGTTGAGTACCAAGGACACAGAGAACAGGTCACTGCCAAAGCTACCCAACTAGGGAAGATTAATTTAATCTTAGGCTGGACCTGGCTATTTAAACACAATCTTGAGATTAACTGGCATACAGGGGTTGTCACATTGTCACATTGCCCTCAGGAATGTAAAAACTTGGGTAAACCAAGTCGCGTCCGTCAAACTGAGCGTCTTGAAAAGATAAATGCTGGTCACATTTATGAGCTCAGATCTTTAGAAAAGATTGATGATGACGATGATGAGGTGAAACCTGAGGAAGAGATTAAGAGGCAGGTACCTCCCGAGTACCATGACTTCTGGAAAGTCTTTTCCAAACATAAATCAGAACACTTCCCAGAGGCTAAGCCCTGGGACCATGCTATAGATTTGAAGGACATGTTCAAACCTATAAAGGGACACATGATTCCCCTCTCTGCTCCAGAAAGATATGAGGTTTCTAGTTTCATAGACGAACAGCTTAGGAAGGGTTACATCAGACCTTCCCAAAGCCCTATGATGTCCCTGGTGTTCTTCATTCCTAAAAAGGATGGTAAGAAGTGTATGATTATGGACTATCATTACTTAAATGAGTACACGGTTAAAAATGTGTATCCGCTGCCTTTGATCAGTCAGCTAGTAGACAAATTGGCTGGTGCCAAGATCTTGACAAAGATGGACCTTAGATGGGGGTACAATAATGTACAAATCAAAGAAGAAGATGCTTGGAAGGCCGCATTCACGTGCCACCAAGGATCCTTTGAGCCCCTCATTATGCTTTTTGGGTTGACCAATTCCCCGGCAACCTTCTAAAGCATGATGAACGAGATCTTTGCGGATATGGAGAACTGTGTTGTCATTTACATTGACGATTTATTAATATTTACCAAGTCAGACGATGAGGCTGAGCATGACAGGATCGTGCAAGAAGTCCTTTGATGCTTACAGGAACGGGACCTATTCATCAAACCCAAAAAATGTAATTTTAAAATGAAGGAAGTAGACTTCCTCGGTATGATAATTGGCCAGAACGGAATCAGGATGGACCCTGAAAAAGTTCAAGCTATATTGGATTGGCCTGAACCTACTTGCATTAAAGGAGTTAGGGCCTTCCTTGGCTTAGGCAATTTCTACCGAAGATTTGTTGAAAACTTTGCGAAGATAACAAGACCGTTGAACGATCTCACTAAAAAGGACATTGTTTGGCATTGGGGCATCAAGGAACAAGAAGCTTTTGATAAGCTTAAACAGGCATTTGCAACAGCGCCCATACTAGCATTTCCAGAATTAGACAAAGAGTTCCGGCTAGAAACTGACTTTTCTGATTTTGCTACTGGGGCTGTTTTATCAATTAAATGCCCTGACGATCTTTGGAGGCCTTGTGCCCATTTATTGCATAGTGAATAACAATATTCTTAGCAATGGCCCAATGGAATATCTCCTGGAAAGTTGCTCACAAAGGACAAACAATACTGTATCTGCCAACTTGCTTATGGCAATGTTGACAAGGTGATAAGAGTCTGTGTATTTGACCTTGCACGTAGAAAACAAGTGATGCCAGGTATAGCCCCCATCCACAACATCATCAACAAGTAATAGGTCTGGTTTACATATATCACACACCACCACTCTAACCTATATTAAGATAACAGGTAAGAGTCACTCTGCAAATTAATAACTCACCTTGTTAAAGAATGACACTATTGTGCCCTCCTACCTTTTCCTGTATTCTGTATAAAAATATGGCTCCTTTGATAGGCTGTTAGAAAGCTTGGTATCTTGGGCAAGTACCCATTCTTGCATGGTCTGAGATGGTGAGTAAGTTGGCTATATTGTCTTTGACTGAGGGTAAGCATAAGCAATAATCTTTTTTTCAGCACAGATAGTAATTATTGTTTGTCATAGACAGTATTATTACCTGATAATATTACTATATAGACAGGGCCAGCAGAGTTCAGTGGAGTGTACCAGTCATCCCATGTTAGGTGTAAGTTTTGGCAGGCTCCTTGCCTGTCCCATAAAAACTATAGTGGAAATATATGTACTGTACTTACCCGGTTAATTCAACAGGCAGTGTTCTGGTCTTCTTCAAATGATGTGGGATTACACACGGCCTCTTTGATCTGATTGTTGAACTTCATCCTTTGAGTACATTGGCCAGACTGGCAGAGTACTTTAAGCATAAGTTATATTATTGTTATTAACACCTTTAACACTCACTGAAACTGCATCACTGCCTCCAGAACTCCATCTGCTAGAGCACCATCAGCGCCTATCAGAATATTTTCAAAGTATTCAGAAGAGGAGCCAGCACTCACCCTTTGAGCCATGTGGGCCATTAATGGAGTTCTCGGGGATAAGCCAATCGCTGATGATTTTATCACAGATATCTATCTTGAGGTCAGTAAATGAGTAAATGAACATGTGTGGTCAAGTCTTCTAACTATTTGCGCAGCATGTGACCGGTCACATGTCAAGTCTAGATACTAGTCAGGTCATGTGACTATGAAAAGTCCGAAAAGTAAAGTAAAATAAATGGTCATGTGATCAGTCATGTTACTTGGAAAATGAAAAATCAAAGTACAGAAAAGTGAAGTGTAAGCACGTGTGCGGCCCAGAACATCTAAGGGCATCACAGACCTGTTATTGCCTCAAACTTCTGTTGGCTAGACGCCAACAGTCCCTCTAAGAAGCTGGAGACCAGCAAAAGCCAGCCTGGCTATAAAGTAGGTGCTGATATGTCAATTATAACAAATGGTAGTGAGCTGTTACTCCCACAGACCTCTGTATTCTGCTACTTCCTCCTCTGCTCTTTCTGCTGCTCTGTTGGCCACCCTCCGCCCCTCTTTTTCTTTTTCTGTTGCTTCTGTCACCCTTCTGGTGATTTTTGCTTCCAATTTTCTCTGCATCCATTCTTGGATTTCTGGTATTAGTCTCGCAGGTGGTGGTGGTTGTATCTGGCTTGGTCCAGCTTCCGGCAATTCCCCAATTAGGTCAGCCATACTGTCTGCCCTTGTGCTGGTTCTTTTTGCCAATATTCCATAAAATTAGTTGGACAGGTTCAGGAGTTTCCTGTTTTATTTGAGGTGTCAGTGATCATGGGGATGTGGATTTAATTGATTCTATTTCTGGTGGTGTGAAGTCTCCATACCAAATATGGGCTAAAGATTTACTTTGTTCTGTGGTTATCCAAGCTTCAAGGTCATCTCTACGCATACACAGGAGTTCACCAATGACAAATCAGAGCAATACATCACTGTGAAGATTGTAGATACTATTTTTCTCTGTGACAATTGGGTCCTCTTCCGCCCTGAACTATTGTGTAGTATGATGTAAGGGTAACTGGAAACTAGGTAAAAGGTATTTGTAATAAATTTGGGGTCCAAACGGTTGTCCCAAAGTAATCTGCTTATTAGGCTATCAATCCTTCTCCCAATGTGTGGCGTGGTCAGAGGTATGCAAAATGGAATTTATGAGAAATGTGTTTAAACCTCACTCGGTTCCACGCTGGGTAAAACTGTAGCTAAGGGGATTATGTAAGGAATCAAATTTTCTATTGCATTCCCACCATGTTATGGTTATCCAACCCATTCCCTATCACTCCTCTTGCGATCGGATTAGGAGTCACAGCTGGTGTTCTTTTACTCTTATCTTTCTTTCTCTTATTTTCCTTTTGCACTCCATTCTACAACATAGGGGACTCCTCTCCTATCCCCGAGATGATACCCCAATGGCATAGCTCTGACCAAGAGCTGTGCATGGGAATACTTTGGCAAGAAATTTATCAGCAATACAGATTGTAACTCAGCACCTTCCCATTGGGTCGCTGATCCAACCAATTGTACATCCCTTACTAAGGACTTTTCTTGCATGATTAATAATTATGATAGATTATACACCACTTTCTTATTCTTTCTCTTTTTCAGTCTGACCCTCGCTGTTCATTATATAAAGAGTAGATATTGGATGTATTATTCCTTAGTTCAATATTAGTTTGGATTTGCGCTCATATCAATACTCTTCAAAGCCATACTCAGCTTCATTATCTTACAGTGACTTCAAAAACTAAAGAGCTGGATGATTGCATTTATAGACTCCCACCTTGCTTTTGTGTATGGCATTTCAAACATGGTTGGTCACAACTATGCCAAATATCTGGGACGGAGAGAAAAAATATGGCAAGGATTTTACTAGGGTGCATTATAGGGAAGGTCCCATCTCAGGTCATAACTTGTTATAGGGCATTCCTTGACTTTATCTACATTGCACAATATGCAAGCCATGACAATACCACCATTCAATACCTGGAAGATTTCTTGGATCTCTATCATCCCAACAAGCATATCTTTGCCCATCTTGGGGTATGAGAACATCTCAACATTCCCAAGTTTCACTCCATGCTACACTATGCTGATGTATTAGAAATTTTGGCACCACCGACAATTACAACACAGAAATATTTGAAAGGTTCCACATAGATTTTGCCAAGGAATGCTGGAGGGCATCAAATTTCTGTGACGAAGTTCCTCAGATAACTCAGTGGCATAGTAGGCAGGAGAAAGTAGCTGTGTTTGAAAGCTACCTGAACAACTACAAGAGAGAAGAAGAGAAGCAGGCAGAGCTGGAAAGAGATATAGAGGCCAGTTCATCACCTACATTCAAACCTCTATCTATTTTCCTGGCTAAACAACCACATTCCCCTGGCCAAACACTGAAAAGCATTCAAACAAGTCATCAATGTCCATCTTTCTCATATCACCTACGTACTTTCCTTAACAAATTCATGGACAGAGGGAACACAATCCCTCAAGTGGCCTTGGCCCAGCTTCCATTTGATCAACTAAATATTTGGCACTCATTCAAATTTGTGTTGGATAGTCTGGGTAATGATATAAGTAGCATCCAAAATATGGATGGTATAGAGGTCAAGCCTGGAAAAAGAGGAGAGGAGGGCAGATTTGATACTGTTATTGTAGTACATACTGATGAAGCAGAGGCAACAGCCCTGCAAGGTATGTCAAACTGTATTGTCCCTTTACAGCTTTTTTGCTTACACTATCACTATAAGGATAAAGGTTGGGAGATTGAGGGTCATATTCTCACTCCCAGATATCCTTTATTCTTACAAGCTTGCACCTCATTCATGGCCCAAAGGCTCTTTGGCTTACGTGGAGTGGTACAAAATATCTAGAAATCCTGGGCAATTTCATAACATGTACATTGTTACCAAGCTAGTCCCTCAGGCAAATGGTGTTGCACCTGGTGCTATTATTCTACTGGGGAACATACATCAAAGTTGTCATCTGGTTCCTCTTACTGGACCTGGGATTGTTTGGCTGTCTAAATTTGGAGGATAGATAATGTACTGGATGTTTGTGGATCATTTTCACTTAATAATTGGGCTAGTAAATTTGCATACCAAACAATATGGTAGTATAGAATTCATTTGTTGTAGTATAGTAACTTGAAGTCCATTATTTTATTATTGACAACTTTGAACTGATCTGATTGGCTTTAATTGCAATAAAAGTACTCTTTATGTAGCTGACAAAACCGGATAATCCCGTTCTCTGCAAAAGCAGCCATTGTTCTCCTAGGAGTCATTGTATTGTAGCGAGTAGTACCTCCGACTATAAGTAGTAGGGGGTTTAACATAGGAATACCTCAGTCGTTTCTATAGCCTCTCGGGCAGCGGCTAAGGTATGTTATATTACATTTATTAGAGATCACCTTAAAACTAACATCCATTGTAGTTTCACTTAGGATTTATTAGTAGCAGTAGTGGCATCTATATCAATCTATAGCGCACTATTTGTCACAAATGCTATATTTGGTCTATTACCCAATCATACCAAACTATATCCAATCATAGTAAAATCATGTTTTCCTGATGCATTAGTTCCATCACCACCATCCAGGAGCCAGCTAGCAAAGGCTTCACTCTCTGGAGTACGATTAAGGTGCATGTTCTGTGTGAGATAGCAGACATGGGTATTTGTCCACATTTGTGACCCCCCAGAAGAGGCAGAAATAATATGTTGCTTTGTGCCTCTTGGAAAAACAGGTGTTGTTTGGCAGAAATCCCCTCAATGACCATTGTAATGCCTCCAAATAGAAGCTGATTTTCCAAAATATCCCACAATGTACAATCTGACACTTCAATACAATGATGAGTGTGAGAATTTTCAATGTGACTACAATTTTCACTGCGCTCTCATTACTACTACACTACTCTACTGTTAACCAAAAACCATGTGAGTGAAACTGAAAAAATGTGCTCCCACGTGACTTTTGGGACCACTGTCCCCTTTATTTTAGATCAGTGAACTCCAAAGTTTTTGAGGAGCTAGCAGGTTTTGGCATCCTTACAGCCACAATATAAGACTTGCACTGACATAGTCTACTCCCAATTCTAGCATACTGCTGAGCTACATATACTGAGAGTAGACTGTCTGACCATGTAATAGTATATATTTACCTGGCTAAATATTCAAAAAAATAAAATTCTGGGCTATTCCCCTATTTGATCCTGGAAATTGAGATGTCCTTTTATTGTTGTTCTATTCAAGCTCTGCTACAGCTAAATTCATAATGATAGACCAATACAGTGAGTCCTCCTGTTGTCTAGCACAACAAACCCGTTGAAACCTGGGGGGTGATCCCTCTCTCTCTCTCTTTCTTTGCTTGTCCAAGTTGTGCGCCAGAGTAACAAACTCTTGGTTGTTACAATAACATCAGGAAATTGGTGAATGTATGATAAGTGTATACATGTATATACCCTTAAATAACACTACCTACTCTGAAATATCTACATTAAGTATCATCCTGATTACCCACCCCCTAGATGAAACTTGTAATGGAACACACATGATTTTGATAGAGATGAAAAGAAAAGTATTGAAGTGCCATGCCTTGGGAGGAAAACATGCAGGAAAGATAGTTTTTATTCCATGCCTCACACTGGAAACTTCTTTGGAAGAATTGTCCATGGTAGACTGTGTATAAGTTTAGGGCAGGCTTATAAGAACATTCAACGACTGAACAGCAAGTCAAACATGTATCATATGCAATTCAAAGACTTAACAATACTTTACAGACAGCACAAGTTCATTGACTTAACATATTGATCACTTAACTGTATTATTGTTATTGTTATTATTATTATTTATCACGTAGAAAAAGCATTGCACAGTGGCAGAGCCACAGGTCGGAAATCTTTGGTATAAATTTCGGAGTTCACTGATGACAATGAATGTTACTCCACCATCCTTGTTGTCCGTATATGGGTTTGGCTTCACTGCCACCGAGGGTCCACACTCAATCGCAAGAGTGTCTTTAACGCTTTTCCCGGTATCACGTCCTTATATTTATATTACTGGCCTGCCAACAACTTCCTCAACCATGTCGAGCGCGACGGAGCTCTTTCTCCCATCAAATCTACCATATCCTATCAAACTCGTGTCTCTCGATGCCAGGCCCTTAGTTTCGGTTCAACGGGGAACACGACTTTTGAGCTATTCTTTTGTATATCCATCTACTGTTGCAAACTCCAAACCTGAAACTGGTTTTGGAACATGGGACTGCTCAGTTGAAGGTACAGTGGACGCCTGGAAGGTCAGGGCGGGAGACATCATCTCAGAGCAGAGGGCGAAGGATAGGCCAGTTATCTTGGTATCGGAACCATGCAAACATGGCGTACAGGTCGGCGGACTATGCTGTCTTTGTGGGAAGGATATGACTGGGTGGGTGTTATATATATATTTGTGCTAATACGTGTTACTGAAATTGTATCAGCTATGATTATACTGGATTCTCGGATGCCTCTCGTGCATCCATCCAGATGACACATTCCGCCTTTGGACCGACTGTATCGTTGGAAGAAGCCCAAAAAATAGAGAAAGAAACTGCAGATCACTTACTCAACTCAAGAAAACTTTCGCTGATAGTTGATCTTGATCAGACTATCGTTCATGCGACTGTCGATCCCACTGTTGGCGAATGGATCGCCGAAGGCGAGGCTTGGGAAGGAAAGAGAGCAATGAAAATGAAACCACCGCAACGGTCTAAAGAAGATGAGGATGTTTCAGATGAGGTAGCGACAGACTCAGAGTCTGATGATGAGTGCAATCCCAATTGGGAAGCTCTCAAAGATGTCAGGAAATTTCAGCTTGGTCCCGAATCTTTTGGGATGCCTTCATCCCCTAGAGCATCACGCAAAGTAAAGGGTAAGCAAAAATTTATTGAAAATGAAGGTTGTATGTACTACATCAAGCCTCGGTTAGCACTATTTCTGGCTTCGTTGCGCATGTACTCCCAACTCACGCTATGAAAGTCCTGGATGGCAACATTTTCTCCATAGCATCGCAAACAAATATGAAATGCATGTCTATACTATGGGCACACGTGCTTATGCAGAAGAAGTCTGTGCTGCCATCGATCCGGATGGTACAATTTTTGGGGGGCGGATTCTGAGTCGAGATGAGAGTGGTAGTAAGTACTTTTGTTTTCCGAGATTACTCCAAGCTTCATCAACTGTTTACTTACAGGCTTAACTCAAAAAAGTCTTCAGCGACTTTTTCCATGTGATACTTCTATGGTCGTCATTATAGATGATCGAGCAGATGTGTGGGAATGGAGTCCAAACCTCGTTAAAGTTATACCCTGTCAGTGGGAACAGTTCTTCTCTCTTGCGTCAATGTAGTCCTTGACTTACCGCGACTTTAGATGATTTCTTCGTTGGAATAGGAGACATCAACTCTACATTTTTACCGAAAGTTCAGCCTCTCACAACTGCCATTCCTCCAGTACCTGGCAAGTATTTACTCGTTTCACTCAGCATCTGACTAATCCAAGATCATTATCAGATATTTTACCATCGCTGCCCGCCACAAGCACAGCGTCGCCTGCCATTTTGTCGCCTCCAGTCCTGACAACCGAGGCACTGGAGCGCAATGAACTAGCATCGAAGACCCTACTTACCCAGAATTCTTTAGCTCTTGAGGCTCAGGTAGAAGAGCGACCGCTGGCTAAAAAGCAAGAAGAACTACGCTTTGCCTCAGACGATGGTAAAGTTACTGAAGTCGCTCAGGAAACCCCTGCAGGTCGTTCTGCAACGGGATGTCAAGAAAAGCAATGCGCGAGTACCAAGCCAGACAAGGGCGTACGCCAGGCACTACTAAATAATGATGACGTTGAACTACAGCGTGTCAAGAATGTATGGGTGTATACGTAGATTCCCACGACGTTTGTTAACGCATTTTACATAGTTGCTTGAAGATATCCACCGCCGCTTCTTTGGTGCTTATGATTCTCGCTCACCGGAAGGCAGGGGGAAGAAGCGAAAAACAAGTTTATTGGGAAGATATCGACCTGACAAGCCATATGATGTCACCGTAAGTTTGTGATTGTTCTCGACCCAGCTCTCACCAACAGATCTCTAGAAAATCATACCTTCGATGCGGAAGGAAACGCTGGATGGTATTCATATACTCTTCTCAAGTGTCATACCGCTTGATACTAAGCCAGAGACAACTGAGATATGGAAAGTCGCAGAGATGTTTGGGGCTCAATGTTGTACCGAGTTATCAAGTCGAATCACGCATGTTGTAGCAGCCAAGGTTTGTCTTGGCTTCGTTGTGAAACGTTCCACGCTGATAACACCGCGTGTATGCAGCATGGTACAGTTAAGGTAGATGCAGCAAGGAAACGTGGCGGCATCAAAATTGTATGGCTGTCATGGTTCACGGACTCTATTGCACTCTGGAGCCATCAAGACGAAACCCCTTATCTTTTGGACGAACCTCCTACAGCAGGTCCCAGTTCAAGTCCAACTCTTGATCCTAACCAAATTTCATCGGACCCTGAACCCGATGGAGATGACTGGGATTTGGACCCACTTACCGTAGGAACTCAGTCCAACTTGAAGTCATTTGGGCTGGCTGAAATCGACTGGGATGATATCAACGATGAGGTTGATGCTGCTATGAATGAAAGTGATGATGATGACACACGAAGCGCTAGAAGCATGGCCAATGGAAACGTATCGAACGACGATGGAGATGCTACGGACATACAAAGCCGCGTTAGGTTGGCATAAATGTTTTCGCAGATATGTGATAAAATCTGAATATTTTAATCCTTTTCGACAGCGGTGTGGCTTCCACTCCACGGCACAATCGCAAGCGCTTACGCAACACTACTCCCTCGGATATCGGAAATGAGTGGACAAATCAGAGGCATGATGACACGCTTCGGTCGCCCCTTGCAAAACGTAAGAAGGTCGCTGCTGGCCGGTCGGGATCATCCAGATTAAAGGAAGCTATATCAGCTGAAGATCTGGATGATGATCCTGAATCAGCGGTGAGTGAGCACAGCGGTGGCAACAATAGCTCAGGTATACCGCAAGGAATTTTTGATGGCCTGCGGGAGGAGGAGGAGGAGGAGGAAGGTGATGGTGACGATGAAGACGACTTCTTAGCTCGTGAATTGGAGGAGGAATGGGGATAGTGACTGACAAGTAACGCTTCTGCAGCCAAATTCATATCGATAAACTAGCGCGTGAGATCACCAGTGAAGACTAAACGGAGTGTGAATAATATTGCAGTGCCAGCCGCTGGCATGTGATTTCGTCAGTCTAATTGTTGGAGGTAAAATTGTAGGCTCATACCAGGCTCCTGCCAAGCCGCACTGTTTCGAGAGAGGAGGATAATTGCTAGAGCAAGAATGATAAGATATAATAAAAATTCATGCCCAGCATAACCTTGATCCTCGCTCTCTCTCCACAGCGGCTTGCACTTAACATTGGTAAACATTGGCCCGCCACAGTCATGGTGACAGCGGACTATCAAAAATAATAGGCAGATTTGTATTTTCTGAAAGCTCCTTCCATTTTGAGAAAATGACAATAAAAAAATACATGTACATTCTGCGATGCTTATTGCACAGAAGCCAAATGCATCAGTAGATCAGTTCAATCAGATACAATGCAACATCATGTTGAAACTGTCCTCAATGTGTTTCAATCAACAGGCATACAACCCCTTCAATTCTTCGAGCACATTTTGTGTTCCCCATCTTATCAAAGCCACCCTTTCGTGTCTAACATACAGTCTCAAAAAGAAACCTTCCACCAAATCTTATGCAAATGCAACTATCAAAATTCACGCGATCATCCAAACAGGAATGGTCACAGCACGCCTGTGGTAATAAAAGACATCAAGGCAGACTGCATTACTGAGCTCCACAGGCTCTCATCTGAAGACTACGGCTGGCACTTCAATGCAGCCAAAGCAACATCTGAACAGATTGAGTGGTTCTGTTCGGATGATATGGTGCAAAAATTTCAAGAAGATGCACCAGTACTGTGGGATCTGATGGGGTTGCTGTTGTCAGCAAGAGATGGCTGATATTTTGATGAGCGAGCCGCCTATCCGCAGCATTAGATGGAAACAACGGCGAGAGGCTGTACTCACTGTTGTAAGTGTATGATACAAGCTTTGCTGGGCCAATAAATTGATAGGTTACCTAGAAGAAAGTCGCTGTAATAAGTATCTTAATGCAGAGTACAAACCAAAAATCCAACACGCTGCAGAGTATCCTCGGGATATTTCTTCATTCATCACATACACCTGAAATTGTCATCAACACATTAGCTTGCATAGGAGTTCAGTATCAATTGATACCATTCACAGTGCCATTCAGTCACTCTCTATGTGTTCACACCAGGCTCTCAGAACTCTTGGCCAAAGCCTACTTGCTGGTTATGCATACGACAACTTTGACATCGACCTCAAATCTGCAGTGCCCTCATCAGAAAAATCAACTGAATCATTGAAACACCTTACCTCAGGTCTCATGTTCCCGCTTCAACATGGTGTCACTTGAGAAGACCTTCAATGCTCCGACAAGCTTTGGAAACAGTCAATCTGGAATTCAGATGCTTTGAAGGCAGACCTCCCACTGGGGTGGCCTGTTTAAGAATTGTTTAGTATCCATCCTGACACCCAAGATGACTCTGGCCTCAATCAATGCCAAAGATTCAACTCGTGGAATTTTTTACATGACCTCTGCCATCATGGGCCATCCTATTTTGGTTGGTTTAAGTCAGTCATCAATGAACCTGACATGTTAGAGCCCATACTGGTTGTTACAACACCCATTGTCGCTATGAAAGCCATGGATGTAAATAACTCCACTGTATCTGGGAATATATTTGCTGTTGTTGAGCTAATGAGCCAGGGCGGATTTGATGAGAGCGGGTCAATAGAAAATGAGGATTTGGACTTGTCACCATACATTGTGCTCTTTCATGGTGATCTTGGAACTGGGGAACGTCTGCAAGCTGTACAGCAGAGATGCGCAATTGAGCAGACACCATGGGATTGGTTTCAACGTATTATCTATGTCCCTGGTCTCTTTCATCTCAAGATGGCTTGTGCTGACGTTATTTGGCGTGTATTCATAAGTCCTGTAGCTGCCAGAGACGATGACACATGCCTAATGCGTGACATTGCTAGCCCAGAGAAACTGGCATCTATGCATCAAAGCCTGGCCTTCAACAAATACACCAGCTAATTGGCTATGCTGGAATATGTCGATGTCTCGAGTGTTGGAGGACTGAGGTAGAAAAACAAAAGTCAGACCATAGTTCTCTTGAAGCATTGCAAAGTCCAGGCCATCATTTGAGGAACTTTCAAGGATTGCAGACCAGCTTGCTAGGTCAAAATTCTACATAATTGTTCACATTCTTTCATGTACAGCAGGGTGACTATTATTAAACTCTCCCTCCACAATTCTTCCACCATTTTGATACATCAAAACAAATACTTTTGTCAATATTTTACAATATGAAATATTTATTTGATGCTCAATTTCTGTGCCACTTTTTCTAAAGCAAATATTTAAGTTTTGTTCAAGTTTGATCATGATATTGGGTACATTAATATTTAACATAAATATCAGAGAAATCACTTCATTTTGCAAGCCACAAAACACTCACAAGATTTCATGTTTTTCTAAAAAAAAAATAAAAAAAAAAAAATTTCTGTGTTGAAGTTTTGTTATAATATTATCATTGTCACAACATATTTTTGAGCTATAGTTCCACAACATTTTACTTGAAAAGGGCATTTAAAATGTCTGTGTGCAATACAATCAACATTTGTAGTACTCAGGATATTGACCAAACAATATATCTTGCTTGACCAAAAGAAATTGCTTATGATACATCTTGCATATAGAAAAATCTTGACAGTATTTTAAATCACATCATGTGTGTTGAACTTATTAAATATTCAACATTATGTTGAGCCTTAATTTTAAATATTTGTTGTTGTTTATACATTCAGTGAAGATAGGAAAAAATATGATAGTTGTGATAGGATAGGTTGCAGGAGGTCATAGTAAGGTTGTGAAAGGTTGCAAAGTGGCAGATAGACTACAAGCACCAAACATGATCAGCATCTAGAAAAACAAGGAACTGTGCGTGAACTTACCGTTCATGACTCGCCCCAGCAAAATGGCACCACAGAACAGTTAAACCGAATGCTGCTTGAGCTAGCTCGAGCCATGCTGATATCAGCTGGAATGCCTAGAATGCTGTGGGGTGAAGCAGTTAAACACATGGTTTGGATCAAAAATAGATCCCCTACCAAGGCCCTTAAAGGCAAAACACCATATGAAATGGCATGTGGCCAAAAACCAGACCTAAGGGACCTTGGAGAATTCGGATGTATGGCCTACATTGAAATCCTGAATGCAGGAAAACTCCAGTCCCATGCTAAAATTGAAAGATAGATGGGATATGATTTAGAATTCAAAGGGTACTGGATATATTGGCCAGACAAACATACCGTATCTGTTGAACGAGATGTCCTTTTCAATCCAGATGAGTGCCTCGAGCCACTGCCAAAATGACCTGCTCCTGCTTGATGTGGTTGAAGAGCCAGTCCAAGATGACCTACAAATGAACATGTTAGCAAATGAAGAGCCTGAAGAAAATGCACCTGTGTTTTTGGCACAACTGCTAGCCCCAGAACAAGTGCCAGAGCCACCTATCCAGCCTCATCCAGTCGAAGGGGCACCCATCCGCCCCATTCCTGAGATCCAAGAGCATCCGCGTCAAGGCCGACCAAAGCCACCAGGCTTTCATTGAAACCTGCACAAAAACGGGCACACAAATCTTGCATGGATGTTAGCTATAGAGGAAAGTGAGGCAGCAACACACCAGTACACTATGGCAGTGGCTGACCTAGCTACCGAGTCATCTGAAAACAACTCACAGACAAAACCGGATAAACCCGGTCTCTGCCAAAGCAGCCATTGTTCTCCATGGAGCATAGCCACCACTCCATGGAGTAACCATTGTTCTCCTAGGAGTCATTATACTGTAGCGAGTAGCACCTCCGACTATAAGTAGTAGGGGGTTTAGTATTGGAATACCTCAGTCGTTTCTATAGCCTCTCGGGCAGCGGCTGAGTTTCACTTAGTTTTATTAGCTGAGACTGGATTTTGTTAGTTTTGGTGATTCTGCACCTTTGTGCTACCTACATATTTTCATGCCTTTCTCTATCTATTCCTCTACCATTCAGTATTAATTGTGTTCTCTATGATTTTGCCTCTGTGGCTGCTTTTTTCACCTTTGTTTACAAAACTTTGGACAGTATTGCAGAGTCCAATGCTTCCTATTCTCTAGTTACTCATATTGGACTCTAGATATTGTATACCTCCTGTAGTCTCTCATAATAGCTCTCAGCAAGTGGCTAGACACTTCCTTTTGTGAGGAATCAATTTTTCTTATCGCATTCCCGTCATGTCGTGGTTAGCAGACTCGATCCCTGTCACTCCTCTTGCCCTTGGACTAGAGATTACAGCAGGTGTCTTATTACTTTTATCATTTTTCTTCTTATTCTCTCTTCACACTCACATTCTATCGTACCTACAACGAGGAAGACTTGTTGTCGACCCTCGAGAAGATATCCAGATGACATAGCCACGATCCAGTGCTATGTCTGGGAATACTTCGGAGGAATATTGATGAGCAAAGAAGGTTGTGAGTCAGCGCCTTCTCATGGGCTTACTGATACAGCCAATCGCACATCCCTTACCAATACATTTTCTCATACAATTAGTAAATACGATAGATCGGACCACTTTCTCCTTTTTTCTTATTGGTTAGCTAGCTGGTCAGACCACTTTCTCAGTACTTCCCTTTCTCGGTCTGACCATCGCCGTTCACTATATAGAGAAGTACATACTCGATGTATTGTTCTCTAGTTCAATATTAGTTTGGATTTGCGCTCATACCGATACTCTTCATTCTCATACCTTGATTCACCGCCTTCCAGTAAGGACTTGACCAGGCATTGTGCTTTGTTATATAGCTTCTTATTTGTTGCCTGACACCTTTAGGCTTTGTCCTTAACAGATTTATCTGGTTTTGTCAAAGAATTCCTGAAATACATGAGTGATTCTTCATAATATATATTAATACTGTGTATATATAGAAAAGTTCTACATGGGATAGTGGAAAGCTTAAATTAACTGTAACAACCAAGAGTTAGTTACTCCGGCGCACACAGGAACACACTATAAAGAAGATGAAGAGGGAGTGGTTACCCCTTAGAATGCAGAGAGTTAGTTGGTATACAACAGGAGGACTCACTGAGGAGTCTCCTGGATCTATTGGGGTTTATATACTACTACAGGGTTGTTTGTACATGTGTACTATACAGTTGATAGAGACAGTGGCTGACGATGTCATGGGGCCTAGCCCGCATGGCCAGCTCCACTGTGTGGGAGAGTTGTGTCCAAAATAAGAAGAAAGGCAACGCGGCGTGAGAAAGGGGAAGTGCCGCGTGGCACCATGTGTGAAAGCTAAAGTACAAGGTTAAAGCGGAGAATAAAAGTAAAGGGAAGGTCCAAAAATTGTGTTATCGTAACACTACCCCCTTCTAAGGCTCGACTTCCAGGCTCGACCAAATACCGGAGGTAGTAGTTAAATTTTCAGGCATAGGTTGAAAAAGAGAATTAAAAAGTTTTGAATCCATGCCTCTAAGCTTCCTAGGAGCTGAGGAATTCTTAGAATAAAACTCGCGAACAGCATCGCGGGAATTGTCCAGATGGGCTTCTGGTTCCCACGTTCTGTCCTCGTCTCCATAGCCCTTCCATAGGACTAGGAACTCTAATTTTCCACGCTTCAAGCGTGCATCCACCACCTGTTCGACTTCGAACTCTTCTTCACCTTCCTGGGTGACTACAACCGGTCCAGGCCGGTCTACACGCTGTCCCAGCAGCGGCCCTTTGTAGGGTTTCACACGGCTAATATTGACCGTGGGTACTACCCTCATTTGTTTTGGGAGTTCTAGCTCCACTGCGTTGGGCTTGACTTCCTTAATCCGGTAAGGGCCAATCCACTTTTTGGTCAGTTTTCTAGACTGCCGATCTTTTAATTTTAAGTGGTCGGTATCTAACCAGACCAGGTTGCCGACCTTGTAGTCAGGGGCCTTAGAGCGTCTACGCTCTGCCCTGTCTTTCATCTGCTCTGCAGTTTTAAATAGCGCCTTGCACGTTTTGTCTAAGACAGACTTCATGTCCTTGGCCATGTTCCCAGCAGCCTCGTTTTTGCTTTTGCCAGGTTCTACACCCATTCTGGGGAGGTACGATCTAGTGACCTCGAGTGGTGCCTTTCCTGTAGCCGATGACTATTTGATATTATAAGAGAACTGGGCTATTTTTAGCCACTTGGCCCAATCCGTCTGTCTGTCATTAATAAATATACGGAGATATTGCTTCAACTCTTGGTTGAGTCTCTCCGTTTGTCCATCGGTCTGCAGATGGAACGCCATTGATAACTTAGGTTTGATGTTTTAAAATGTACAAGACGTAACAACCAAGAGTTAGTCACTCTGGCACACAACTCAGACAAGCAAAAGAGTAATGAAGAGGGAGTGGTTACCCCTTAAGATAGGACCGAGTTAGTTGTGGGTAAACAACAGGAGGACTCGCTGAGGAGTCTCCTGGATCTATTGAGGTTTATATACTACTACAGCGTTGTTTGTACATATGTACTATACCGTTGATGGGGGCAGTGGCTGATGATGTCATGGGGCATAGCCCATGTGACCAGCTCAACTGCATGAGAGACTTGTAGCTAAAAAGGAAAACGCAGTGCAGCGTGAGAAGGTGGAGTTTGAACAAAGATGGAAAGTGCCACATGGCACAGTGTGTGAAAACTACAAAAGAAAGTTGAAGAGGAGAATGAAAATTAAAGGTCCGAAGATTGTGTATTGTAACACAAGATGTTGTTGATACCCTCTGAGGAGATCATTTGAGCTGTCTAAAGGATTTGAAAAGTGTGCCATTCTAACTGTCTCTTCCCCCTACACGTTGACTCTGCATGTTCAAACTTACTTACCAATTTTGGTGTCGGAGAACACCCCGCTGAGTGGTTGGAGTCTGGTATGACTGGGCTTTTTTACTGAGGATTCCCACGAAGTCAGAAATGCGGTATATAGTACGGTTGGTGGCGATTGTATATTTTCTTTCATCTTGGATAACTAACTTGTCATGGCATCCACTTTTTTCAGTTGGATCCGGTCTTCCGCTGCACGCGAGTACTTTCTAAGTGCGTCTCGTACAATCTTGATTTGAATCATAACTCATTGAAACCGGACTGCTGCAGGCACTCATTTTTGGGGCCCAGCCAGTGCAACTTCTTTGCCTTGATCGTGCATTTCATTAATCCTCATTTATATAGGTAGCAAATTGGGGTCTTCCGTTAGCAGCTCTAGCGGATTTGAGGAAAGACGAGGAGGTCATCTCAGGAACAATGACTAGTGCGCTCGCGCTGTACTCGTGAGTAGTCTTGGAACAAGCGATTTAACTAGCTTACATATATATGTACTTTTGTAGGGTGGTTTTCATGCGATTCGGTTTGTAAATTTGCGATCCGTAAGATGTGAACTGATGTGTTTCACATAGCTTGGCGAGTTCAACCGCGAAATTACTTACTATTTGCTTGCCATGCCACAAATGCTACAACGCAGTCATTACAACAGGCTCGATTCTTGAATTACTGGTATAATGGTGGTCGAGAAAAGAAACGTGATATTTTGTCTGGAAGTGCTATTAATTCTGTATAACTAGACGCCGTGTGCTCTCCCTTGGACAAATTGAACTTTTTCCATGCAGTTCACCAAAATCCATCGTCACCTATCTCATTCGTGTTCCTCTTGCTTTCTATTAGTGTCTGTCGTTGATACATCTCTGCGATCTCCATCGATCGCCGTCAGCCAAAAGAAGGGCGCGTGAGTCCCATGCACGGCGTACCTGCTCAGGACTCGTGGAGTCCTCGGCTGATTTATCCTCCCGTGGCCGAATGAACCTTGGAAAACGCAAGGATATACCCCTTTCTTCGATCTGCATAGAGTAAATAAGGTGAATATCAGACGATAAAATCAAGTAGGCATTGCGCACTAGTCCTTGGGCTGCGGTATAAATAGGGCTCAAGCTTAGATCGGCTGTAAGAACCTCCCACACAATCTTAGGTTCGAACCAAACATCTGGTTGGGCTCCGCCAGCTTTTATGTCGCCTCTAATATTGAGTGATTGGAGCGGCTTCAGCATGTCGTAGTGTGTCTGCAACTGTTCCTCGCTGAAACCGGTACCGATTTTGCAAATCGTCTGGAATTCTTCTGTATTCGTGTCGTAACAGGCAAGAAGGAATGCACCATAGACATTAGCGCGTTTCCCCTTGCCGTAGTATCCTCCCACAACTACCAGGTCCAAAGAATCACCTACTCCATGCAGGTAGTCTTTCTTTAGCTAGTATCGTGGTCTCATCAACAAGAGGGTAGCCACACAATAACAGAGCATCTCACTTTAAGCCAGTTGACACTTCGGCGACTAGGTTCATAATAACTATTATCGCTTGCCAACATCTTCACCATGAGCCCTTCACATCCATCTTTGATACTTTCCTCGAGGAATGCTTCGATTTCGTCTATCGTGTTACTATCTGAAGCCTTTGCGAAATCAAACTCACCGGGGATAGATTGAAAATGCTGCCGTAGTAATGCCCTCCTCTTCTTAAGGTCCTTCTGCAGTAAAGGCTGAGGAGAGAAAAACGTTAACCAAACCGATGTTAAAGGGCAGATAGAAATGAAAGCACACTTCGCCATTTAGATACAACAGATCGAAGGCATATAAACAAACGTGTACTGTAACGTCTTGGAATCTGACATCCTTCCGCTTCCTTTTACTCAAGTGTTGGAAAGGCATCAACATGCCAGTGGATTTGTTAATTGCGACAGCTTCTGCATCGATCACAAAAGAGTTGGTTGAGGCTCGTATGCACTGCAAAACGTAGACTATCAGACATCAAAGCGAAAAAGTAACAGTAACGATCTCACGCGCGGGAGTTGCTCTATAAGATCAGGATATTTTTTACTCATGTCTTCTGAATTTCGGCTGAATATTCCAATAGTACCATCTTCCATCTTATGCACCTATTGTTACGATCAGTGTATGTAAACTCAACGCGTGAGCGACAATGGAATGTACGTACCTGTGCACGTTCGCCATCATACTTATACTCACATGTGAAGTCCATGCCTTCAAAACGATGGAGAACCTCGCCGATTGCCTTGGTGGGCTTGGCCAACATGGGTTTCAGAGGGATACCTGGCGTAAGCTTGCACCTATCATGAAGGCAAGCAATGCCAACTTCGAGAAGTGCGGGTATGACCTTCTCATATGTTGGTAATTCACTAGATATTGATGTCAGCAAAATATCCAGTCCCCACGACCAAACACACCTGTAAACACTTTTCATGACCCTGGCCGCTTCGTCAAGACGGTTTACTAATTCATGCGGGGTCCACTTCGCCTGGTCTGTATTGACCGTAAGCATTGGCATCAAGGACCGAGTGAAGATGGAATACTACCTCTCTCCATTTCAGCCAACACAGCTGCATGTGCAAGGGCTACTAGTACTGTCCTCTCCGCATTCCCGATTCGCAGTTTACCCTCCAAGCTACGAACAATATATTTCGCTTCAAAGCCCTGGCATGCAGTCAAGATCTTCACCATGATAGAAACTTTTTTGCCTTGGGACTGGAAAAATCATGAATGTGATGAAGTAACATATGGTGATTATATTTGCGCTCACTGCGTGTCCTGATGAAGTTGCAATTTCTTGAAGGCTTGAAAATACAAAAGGTATCGTGAGAGGTTTAGCTTTGAAAAGGGTTTTTTGGTTCTTTTTTGATTTCTGAGTTTGGCAAAGTTACTACGTTACCAACCATGAAAAGTTGGTGAAACCATTACCATAGCCACAAGACCTAAGTCACCCTCCTTCTTAAAGTCAGCTTTTATCTGTGCGGCACTGCGACCAGTTGATTGCCCAATAGCTTTGACAAGGAGGTTTTCTCCGATACCTAGTTCTACACCAACGTAATCTGGACTTAACTGGCAAAAGATTCAGGTTCACATCGCATGCTACTAAGAAGAAAGATATACCCGATTTATACATAAGTATACGGCTTGTAAAAGAGACTTCGAATCTCCGATTGCACTGCGTTGCAATATAAGTAAGAAGAAGGTCGTAAGGAGCGCAGTTTTTTCTAAACGCTTGGGAGTGGCTTCGATTAAGGAAAAAGCTTTCACAAGGGCGGCATAAGGGACCCTAATAGCGACGATAAGAATGTATGACATGCAAGTAGGACAGAAAAAAGACTGACGGATCGTCAGCTTGCCAGCCACCATTCAAATCAACTTTCTCTTTTTGTAACACTACTCCTTCAACACTTGATAGTGCAGACATGAACATAACTCTTCCAAGGGAGATCGACGAGACGTACATCTGTGATGCATTGCACTTAGCTGCGTTATAGTCTTGATCTTCCACTACCTTCATGCTGCCACTGTGAATAGACTCGCTTTCTTCATCTCGCCGACAGGTGCTAGGCCCCAATGATTGCATCAACGGCTCTTGTTCGCTGTGACTTTCGACAAAACCTAGTAGAAGAATGAAGAAAACAGTTGTATCTGGATAAATATCCGCTCACTGGAGATCACTCTTAGTTTTTTCTGTTTGGATTGTTCTGTTTGATCTAAATAATGGGAAAAACATCCAGAATATATTGGGGTGCACCTTGACAAGGAGGACTTGATGATAAATTCCGTTTTAACATCTTATTGGTGGGCAGTGAGCTTGATTCGATTGAGGTTGCCGCGTCTGACTCATCAGGAAAACGGGGAGATTCCTAGGAATGTGTGACAGGTGAATAGCAGAATGTCACGCAGTAGTTATCCAAAAAAAAGTCCCTGACCCTGACTCCCAAAAGTGAGTGGCTGAGGACCCCGAAAACTGTTCAAAAAATGGTATACCATAGTCGGGGATACTTTTCAGTGAAAATTCGACCAAGTCCCTTCTTACAGTTTAGGATCTATAGTAGATAGATAGTAAAGTTCACACTAGCATTTTGTAATTTGGAAAGGTCATTCATAATATTCATTGGCATGTTTTCTTGTATGTAAACACCAAAACATATATTAAGATATCTGGTAAGCTATACTCGAGATCGCTTTGGCTGTTTCTGGTGCTCTGTCATACGAGAACGTTTCTGTGAGGGTAAGGAAACTACTACTGCCCCTACAGCCTCACTACCTTCCTCAGTAGTATATAAAACAATCATATCCTCCGGTATACTTCACACTAATTGTTCTGTCCAGGAAATCTTCAATGCACTCACAATTTTCTCTGGCAGCAGTTGAGTTTGGTTCCTGTGTGCATGGATGGTGTTGAGGTGGTGTTGTAGATTATACTTCCATATAGCAAGTCCAATGCGGGAGTCAGAGCAAGGACACAGTGGGCATGTAATAGGAGCATTTGTGGATGGTGATGTGCTACTTCCTTTCAGTGCAGAGCTGAGGTTGAAGGAACAAGCTTGAGGACATGCTTATTCGGCCTGGATTGTGCTCTTTGCTTTGACTAATGTCACCAGATGGCCCAATAGGCCACAGAAGCCACAGGGATCAGAGTGGTTAACCTATGTATACAGTGAGTGCATTGTGGTGATGTGGATGGGGAAAATATACCTGTTGTATAAGACCACTCTCATGTGTATCTCGCATTGTGTGGAGGATATGTCCCCCCATGTGGTTTTGAAGGGCTGTCCATTTAATAGCTTTACTGCAAATGTTACAGTTTACATGCTCCCCAGCTATGGTCTTAGTGCTATGACTGTTCCCTAAATATTGTGTTGCCCCTTTGGCTACAAATGCACAAGACTAAACCAATGTCAAGACATGTCAGAAACAAGCGTTAAACATACTTACCGTCTACATTCTTATAAGGGAATCCAACTGTGGTGATTCCGCACTTTGGGATAGACTTGGTAGATTTATTGAGCTCACTAAGCTCCCACAGGGCCTCAACGGCCACACCCAGGTCTGTTTCAGAAACAGCCCATGTTTCTTTTTGTTCACGTAGTTGGTACGTCTGGGTGGAAGCCCACTATGATAGTGGACAACACTTAAGGAAAAACGAAGAATTGATTAAGTTAGGATTTAAGATCAGGGGGAAACTAGTCTACCGTACAAGGTGTTGAACGACAGGTTATATGTGTAGTGTAGTATTCCAATGTAGTATGCCAAATGTCTATGATGATGCCATACCCTATTATGATGTCATGTTCCTTTGTGAGCTACGCTTACACTGGGGCAAGAACTTTGTTGGTTGAATTTTAAGATTTAGAGGGTGGACAATAATGCTTGGAACATGTAGGATGAGGGCCTTTTGAGAGACTTTCCCTTGGTTAACTTTCACTTTCTTGAGCGGTCCAAACTTGCAGTAGTTCCCGGTCCACAACTATAAACCTTGGGTCCTCACGTTGTATGGAATACCAGTGTTTGGATTTTGAAGGGCGGCCTTCTGCATTTGTAACACCTATCCCAAAACAGGGATCTCCACAGTTGCTAGACGAAGGGACTCTTCCTGTACCAAGGCAACCCGCTGCTTGTTTTGTTCAATACAAGTTACTTGTAGAACTCCTACGCTAACCGTCTTCTGGTGACAGATGAGAATAGCAGCCAAGTCACCAATAAGTAATGCATCACCCATGATGTCATCACTATTGAGATTGGTCATAATTGGGGGCTCGCATGAATATCCTCAAACACAAAGTGTGCAATCCCGAGACATCTTGACCTTCGGTGACCGGAACAGAATCTGAATAGCAGAAGCATTGTGGATGCTTCTTCCCTCAAAAACCACCCAGTCTTCATGGTGTTTGGCAGTTTCCATCTTATTTGGCTCGGGCAGGAGATCCTCCAACTTGATAGCTGGTAGATCTACAAGCTCACTGTTGCTGGCCTGACTTTGTTCGGATATGAGTCCAACTAGTTCACTGTCAGATCCTATGTTTTCATCACTGTCTTCAATATCCTCTGTGTCCTCCGCCTCAATGTCCTCCACATCCCCCATTACAGTGCCTTGGCCTTCAACTTGTAGCAGATCAGAAGCAGTCACAGGCTTGCTGCTGTCGACTTGGGAGGGATCTTTTTCAGATGAAACACTAGGATACTTCCCATTACCTGTAGGGTGCATAAGGTTGGTTTTTCCATCTGCAAACAAGTTGTTGAAGGATGTTTCCAGTCCAATTTTTGCAAGGATAGTGTTGAATTCTTTTACCACTGTTAACCACACACTTTGGATGGACACATGTCCACATATCATATCCGCTTGCCACAAAGCAGGGTTTGTTTGATCAACTCCCAATGTGTCTTCAAGCTGCAAGCAGCGCTGTCCCCGGTCCCACAGGGGGTTTTATTCATAGATGACAGCACAATTGGCTGCAGAGGCAAGGCATTTGCATAAACAAACAACACCCATAATTGGGTCATGGTTTTCCGTTTGTGCTTGTCCAAACAGCCCTTCAAGGTGGTCATCCCCATCTTGAAATAGGTAGACAGGCTGTGTGTCATCCAGTAGCTGTTGGCATGCAACTGTGAATATGATATTTCATTGCTTGCATATCACCATAGAGCTGATTTGACATGAACAACGTTGTATGCTTTCTGTAGAGGACAATTCTCGGACGTTGAATTGGGGCTTCTGTGCGTTTTTGCATTCGAAGCTCCTATGTCCTTTCTCTCCTCACCAGTAACATTGTCCCTCAGTGCGGAACTTTGCCTTATCCACTTCCATCCTTTCTTTTCATTTGGTTTCCTTCCAAATTCGGATCCTTTCTTCTCTTTTTCTCTTTCTCTCCAGATGTAATCTATCCGGATGAGTTCTCATTTCCATTTCTGGTAATCTCTGGGAATATGCCCTCCGTAGATCACCCGGTCTACCAAGGGTTTATTCATGTTTTGTCTCAATAGTGAGACCAGGAATTCTTTGTTCATTCTGCTGTTATATCCTGCCCACCTCTTTTTTTCTTCAAACTTTTCGAAGAAGGCCTGAGCAGTCTCATTGCCCTGTTTTAGGGTCAATATTTCATTCTTTGCAGTTTCTTTTTCAAAACTGTCTTTGAATCTTTCTTCCATTTTGTGGGCAAAAAACGGCCAACTTCCATATGTGTTTGTGATGTCGAGCCCCATTTGTTGGGCGTCAACTCTGTTTTCTAGCCAGTTGGTTTTAAAGGCCGCGGCTTCTCCTTCTTTCATAAAAGATAGCACAAAGCTTATCTTTTTTCTGTCATCTTTGAAATAGACAGCGTCATCTTCGAATTGTAAAAGTAAGGACTCTCTGAAAGCCCGATACTTTTTCTTATCTCCTGAAAAGTTTTCTGGTTTTTCCAGGGCTGTCGATGTTGTCTTTGTAGTCTTTTTTAGTCTTCTCTCTAAGACGTTCACTTCTTCTAATGCCTCATCGAGTTGGGACTGGTATAGAAGGCGAGTTTCTCTGATTGCCTTCTCGACTTCCTGTTTTACGTATGCCTCCAAAGAGACTTCTTTGGGCGGGGGAGTGTCTATTCTGGGTAATGAGTCCATCATTTCCCGAGTAAATGTGTCATCCGTGCTGCTGGATCACTCGGGCTGATCTCGGTACTCTAAATTGGACATTTTTCGAATTCGAGTTGTTGTGGCGGGGGAGTTTCTTGTTTTATTACAGGGGAGAGGCTTCTGATTGGTGTGATGGTAGGGAGTGGGGATTGTCCTTTGAAAACGTAGTCTCTGGTGTAGATGTTCTGTTCGCCGATCCAGATGTAAAAGTCTCTACTGAGCATAGAAGGAGTTCACCAGTGATAAGCTGGATCGATACACCACTTCTATGGTCTCTAGTAGTCTATCTGTTTCTCTTTGAGTCAAGGTGATCCTCTTCTGTTCACCACTGACTATGTACGTATTGTGCTATTTTTGTATTTTTACAAATTTTATGTGAAAGGTTATAGTAGAAAATCTAGGTGCGAACGGTTGTCTAGTTTTAACCGGCTTCTTGGGCTCTCAATTCTTCTCCCGACTGGCGGACGCAAATGCGCGGCCTGGTCAGAGGAAAGTGAAGTTTGAAACTATGTAAAAACGAGAAAATTCCAGTGGTTCCACACCAAAGGAATTATAGTGATATAATGGTAATTAGAGGGGGATGGTTTGGAAGGAGTCTTGGGAGGTTGTGGGTGAGACATTGGCTGGGAAAAATGATAGAATGGTGTTTGGGCGAGTGGGAATGTGATTTAATGGGATGATGGGTTGCATGTGTGGTTGGTAGAATTTTTTGAGTAAAGCAAGGATGATGATGATGGTGACGATGATGATGATGATGATAGTGGCTGTTACGCTCATAGACAGTACTCGTTTACAGTTGTTGATTGTGTTAGATCCCTACACCTTTTGCCGAACTAACGGAGGTGTAAGTCTCAAAATCAGACAAGTAGTGTCAAGTATCGGTATAAAGAAGTAATCAACAACTGAGGAAATGTATGTACATGGGTGTTGGTATATATACATTTTCTGAAGGTCAGCCATGAGGCGCTGACTGATGTTGTGCGTCATAGTCTAGGCTTTGTCACGTAATTGTCACGTGATCAGATATAACTAACTACTTGTTTACATAATGAGTCATGTGCTTTTGTCACGTGGTTGTCACATAATCAGATATAATTAAATAATGAATCAAAAGAAACTAAAGGTTTGACTCAGATTGTGACACTTAGCCTCTGGAAAGTATTCTGATTTATCTTTTGAAAAGACTTTCCAGAAGTCATGGTATTCTGGAGGTACCAGCCTCTTGATCTCTTCCTTGGGTTCTACCTTATCATTGTTATTGTTAATCTTATCTAAAGATCTGAGTTTGGCATAACCATGACCAGCGTTTATCCTTTGTCAAGCTCAGTTTGACGGACATGATTTGGTTTACCTAAGTCATTACACTCCTTGGGGCAACATGACAATGTGACAACACCTGTCTGCCAGTTGATCTCAGAATTGTGTTTAAATAGCCAGGTTCAGCCTAAAATTAAATTAAAACTTCCCTAGTTGGGTAGCTTCAGCGGTGACTCGTTCCCTGTGTCCTTGGTACTTGATAACAAAAGAACATTTGTGCATAATGCAGCCACCTGTGTTAAGTGTACCATCAATGCTATAGATGGGAATAGACATATCTAATTTTACAAGGGAAAATCCAACCTACTCCACCCAGACCTGATTTATGGAGATGCTATTGGCACCTGAATCAAGCAGAGCACTAGTTGGGTGTGATGATCTTTGGAGGCCTTGTGCCTATTTATCACATAATTTGTTGTCTACAGAGCACAACTATCAAATTTACGACAAAGATATGCTGGCCATTACTTAAGCTTTAGAGCACTGGCGGCACTACTTAGAAGGTGCTAGGCACCAATTTAAAATCTGGAGTATTTTATGATGGCCCAGGACTTGCACCAATGACAGGCCCGCTATGCGGTGTACTTATCTAGGTTTAATTATAAATTAATTCATAAACCTGGTACTTCTATGGGAAAAGTGGATGTTTTATCTAGAAGAGAGGATCATGCCAACAGCATCAAAGATAACAACAAAGGTGTCACCCTGATAGATCAATCTAATCTTCTAGAAGTCTTCAAGAAAGGCATTTCATCAAAGAGAAGGCACGCCTTGATGGCAATGAGAACAATTTATGGAAAGACGGGATCTTCTATTTTAAAGACAAAATCTATGTGCCGGAGTCCACAAGGATCAAGGCAATAGATAGACATCACAACACTGCAGTGGCTGGACACCCTGGGTGGCAACAAACAATAGAGGTGATCTTCAAAAATTACATGTGGCCTGGCATGGTTAAAGACGTACAGGAATACATAAAATCCTGTCTGAGATGTGCCATGGCCAAGAATTCTCATCAACAGCCAACAGGTAAACTTATGCTGAATCCAATACCAGCTGGTCCCTGGCAAGATATATAGGTTGATTCCACGATGGATCTACCCAAGTCGAATGGGTATGATTCAGTAATGTGTTGTGAATGAGTAAATCATACACTGATATGATTCTAGCTCGTCAAGTCTCACCATGGTAATTTCCTGACCATGCATGAGAAAGTCATTCCATATTAGTACCAAAACTATTCCCACCTACCGTATATATTCACTTATGCATCTCAGTCTTCTATCCACAGACTGAGGTAAAATTTTATACCTACAAACACTCATAGAATAATACTGATATTACCATAGTAAACTCCTTTACTTGTACAGTGACCCCAAAAACCCTTTCATGTTGACTCTGGGTGTCATGCATGAAGCATACCATCAAATAGCTTGAGAATTGCAGTTAGCTTTGACGGAGTTACAAATAGTACCATACTCTTGGCTATAAAATTGCCCCATAGGTCATGTGATTTGGTTCACATGCTATAGGGATATGGTTGATTTAAAACAGCAACATCATGGAAAGGGTTTTTTCACTTTTGAAGTGAAAAGGGTATTTGGTTATTATCAGTACTTGGTATAGCCTTTTTTTTCCCTAAACACTGCCTGAATCTTTCTAGGCATACTTTCAATTAGTTTATGACACCTCTCAACTGGTATTTTCTCCTACTCCACTTAAGTCCTTTCCCACAATTCATGAATCATATTGGGGGGGTTTTCATACCCTGCAAGCCTCCTCTTGAGATGTCCGGTAGGATTTAGGTCAGGAAACTGTGCAGGCAAACCATAGTGTTGAATGCTGTTCCTCTAGCCAGTCCTTGACCTTCCTGCAGTTATGCTTGGGGTCATTATCCTGCTGAAAGATACCCTAAGAAGGATTGAGACTATAATACTCTAGGGTTTGCTGGAACTCATCCTTCAAAATCTGTAGGTAAAAATCCCCATCCATCCTACCATCAACCTTGGTAGCAAATCCAACTGCTTTCCAAGTCATACAGCACCACATCATTAAGGAATATCCTCCAAACTCGAGGATTCCATCTACCAGCTTATTACTAAGCCCCTTACTTACCCTTTTCCATGCTCATTTGTGTCCATCTGACCCTAGGTGATTGATTTTAGTCTCAACATATCATATTACTCTTTTCCAGTCCTCCAGAGTCCAATCCTTGTGAGCATAGGCAAAATTCAAACAAGCTTTGTGGTGCCTAGTAGAGAGAAGGGGATGTTTGGACTTCACCACATCCTTTATACCAGATTTCTTCAAATGAAGGCAAACAGTATTGGATGAAAGGGGCTAGTTGATGATGCTGGTAGGGCTTTGGTCACTTTAACAGCATTTTCAGCTTTTCCAGAGGTAATAAAATGTTGGGCATATCAAATATTGGCAGGGGAAAGCTTAGAAAGATGACCTTTGATAGCTTTAGGTAGTAGAATGCTTTTTGGAGCAAAGTTTGGATATATTAGAAGGGCTAACACCAGTCTGCTTGGCAATGGCTTCACCAGAGTACACCGTTAATCCGGTCCAACCTCTCCAAAAAGGTAAATGAGCACGACCTCTCACAAAGGTCTGCAGAGCTATTTGTAAGACATGATTCATCAACATATGTCCTACAACAGTAAAATATGTATTAATAATGCATCCCATGCAGTAGTCAGACCACCGAACAGCTCACTTAGTGGAGGGAGATTTG